AGAGAGAGAGAGAGAGAGAGAGAGAGAGAATAAATAATCTGGATAATAGATACAATAAGCTGACGAAAATAATACTTTTGCTTTTTTCAGCACTGGGACTTGCAGGGATACAACTCGCCAGAGAGTTGCTCTGTCAATTGGAAACCCATATGGATGGTATATTAGGGAATCAGCAGAGAGGACCATGTTTTGTGTACGTTAATTCAAAAGATAGACACGCAGTGCCTAGCAATTGAATAGAGATTTTTTTTTCGATGGTACTCTTTTTTGGTAAAGAGATCGCACTTTAGGCCGCTGTGCCCTATTAAGTTTTTCAAAACTTCCTCGAGTGATTGTCGGAACACAATATCTTTGTCAAATCAACTGTTTTTTTGTAAGCAAAGCTACCACATGGAAAATACATTAAATTATTACCAATTATTTTAAAAATCTTTTGCAATAGCTTAACTTTTGAACAGGACGAGCAATTTTTATGTTAATGTTGGTTACTTTTTGAAGTCAATAAGACGCAACAAGTAGGCGCGCACATCTTTCGGCAAGGGAAATCCAGCCTAAGTTGAATGTACTCCGAATAGTATGTTGTAGTAAGTGCGTTCTGTCTAGATGGAGAATCATTATCAGTATATTCATTTCTACCTCAGACAAATCTGTTATGTCTATTGGTCTGCTCTTGATCAACTTGCACTAGTGCAGTGCACCGCAGTGTCTTTGAGACTACTTTAGGGCTTGGTGTGGCTTTTACTCTATCAAAAGAATGTGAATCACATGAAGAGCCCGTTTATGATAGAAGATTCAATCTTTGGATTCTGATCCGTAGAAGCTTTCTTTTAACACCAATATGTATTCTAACATACATATAAATACAGTGTGCGAATATAACTAGAGATATATCAATGAAGCGGGACCACGTGGAATTTTGCTAATCGGCCAGAAATGAGATCGAGGTCGAATGATTATCAGCACGCTCACGCTTCAACAATACTTACCCATGTTGTTTGCTTGTTGCTGGTTGAACAGTTGATTATTCACCATGGGATTGTTTACATTGGTCGCCCCCATCTGGCCACCCATGTTCATTCCTGGTTGATTCTGATTCATCACCATCATCATCTGATTTGTGGGTCGCATCTGGTTAGCGGGATTCTTTACCTGGTTTACTCCAGTGTTCGACCCTGGGAAGCCAGGTTGCTGATTTCCTCCTAATGACGGATTTATTTGACTATTTTGCTGGGTCACTTGGTTGGCCGCTAGTGGATTATTCAGCTGATTTAGCATGTTACCTTCAAAATAAAAGAATTGTGTTTCCCTTCTCGAAATAGACGATTTTTGATTGTCACTATATACAAAAAGACTACAATACAGATATGCTTTTTCACATTCAGCCAAAAAAGCACCTTAAATTTGTTGTATTTTTCCTTGACTAGGAACACTTACAAGTTTACTTTTTCTTTTTACTAAACTCGATGGTCCTCTGCAAACTTCATACCTAGGCTGATTTAGGAAATCAGTTAATGACGTAACTCGATCTGCCTAAGTAAAATAGATCTCGTAATCGAAAAGTTCAATTTCAAGTAAGGGTCACATTCGCAGTACGTAGACTTAATCTACCTTAAATCGATTATTTTCGGATTCGAACCCTTTGTACTTCTCGTAACTGTAAAAGACTGTACAAAGGGTTTCGTTTAGTTAACTTGGTTATAGAGCTTCGACTGATGTCCTCGGTACTTATTTCTAACACAGCGAACCAAAGAAACCTTTCAAGGTCCAGACGAAGTTATCTCCGATATAAATCCTGCATCGTATAAACGAACTTTATCATCTAGATACTCGTATGATAGTTGAGCACGATCAGCTCGTTCTTTCTAACAGGCGTGCAACAGGTGTCATTTTGCGTACTCTACTTTCAACTAAACGTCCTGCCCGAAAAACGCCAAAAAAATCTTACTTGCAAAGAATTCAATAATTAAGTTATGGCCCAGTTTATCTTTGCCGGCTTTTCTATTAGTATACATTTGTATACTAATAGTAAATGTATATTTGGCAATGTCCCAAAATCTCATGATCTACGACCTCATTAACGGAGATGCTTTAGTCTACTTTGTGCTGTATTTTTTCAAAACTAAAAATATGGTTATATTGATTACGATGATAATTGAGATAGAGATATTTGGAAACAAATGTTGCTCTTCCAGTACTTCAATACGGCGCGACGGGCTGACTGAACCACCTCCATCTAAAAGATATCGATAGAAGATTGAACTCTGTCGCGACAACTGGCTGCAACATTTCGTAACGGCATGACCAGTTTGGTCGGCCGCGTCATCCTCGTCCTATTCCATTCCTGCTGACTGTTGCCAAATGCTCATATAACAATACTGGAGACATATATAAAATTAGGTCCAACTAATATTCAGTTGAACCAGTGTGAAAGCAGATGAACTTCGCTTCGATTTGTGAGACAAGAGCATTATTTGCATAGACATAGGGAAAGGTAAGATTTAAATCGAAATCTTTACACCCTGTGATACATGAATGATTTTAACCTATAAATTCTGTGATTCTGCGTTCCAAGTGAAGTGCTACGGGAAAGTCAGTCGCTGGAGAGCGATCACCACAAAACGTATGGACATAAAGCTGAAGAAGGATGAAGCAAGCATAACCCACTGGGTCCATACCAAGAAATCCAGGCTCCTATAATATAACACACAACCAGCATTTGTGACCGCAATTGTTTTAATTTCCTTGACGCAGTGCGCTTCAGCATTAATATCTTTATAAAGGCCCGTTGTTTTTGGTATTTGCAGTAGAGAATACGAATGCTTCATATTCGTTCTAAACGAAATTCAGTGTACGGGTCATACAATTTGTGCCGACTGCGTCTGACCGGGCGCGATTCGAACTTCGATCCAGAGTTGCATGAGGATATATGTCAGAAGTTTAACCCTTTCTCTATGCCAGCCCTTTCCAAATGTACGACTTGCTCTGGGGGAGAATCCAACGGCAAGATAGCACTTGCTGCCATGGCAATAACGACGTAACGGACTGCGGTGCGTCTCAAACACTCAAACATGGTGGACTTCTACTTCTTTTGTAGTTTTAAAATTTCGCTGTAAAGATGAAACCAACAAGTATCATAAGATGTTGCAGCTATAGACGACGGATGTTGTGAATGAAGATCAGTCGATTCCTACAAACAGCGTCTGATATGAAAGAATGTAGAACAACCGTCGCTGATGCCACCTCATTAAACTACTATCCTCCGCCCTCTCCTCCGGGCCACTCTGTTGCTTTCCGTTCAGCTTGCGCGACGAAAATCCCTGCGACTATTTCAACAGTTGAGTTTGAGGGAAAGACAAGAGTTTGTTCCTTTTGACTCTTCTTGCGGTGCGGCGGTCTCCGTCTATTCTCCCCTCACTTCCTCAACCGGTTTTACTTTTCAGGCGAGCTTAGCTGTAGCTGAGGGGCATGACGGCCCCGCTGGACATTATATTTCTTTGTTTGGTGCTGCCGTGAGCGTATCTGGTACAATATATTCTGCCTACATCTGAAGTCTATTCACGTACGTTGTTACAGTCCTCTGCAGACTACCGCGCCCCAAAGGCTTTAACGAACTGCTTCATTTCAAGCTCTAGATGTCAAGGGCAAAATATACTATCATGCATGTAGTCTCGGCTAACAGTATCGTGTCTTAAACATGTCATCTGTTTCCATTTCCTATTTTTTCGAGTTCAGGTTGTGGTTCATGGGCTTTAGGTAAATAATTGTGCGCGGTGTCTATATTGCGTGGTCCTTCCTGCCACTTTCTCGTCAACCCAGCCGCCTTGAGACAGTGTTAGATACTTTTAAAATATGGCTTAGTTGACGTAAGTGTACGTTTTTCTATCGAACAGAAAATTCTCCCGAAGCTCTGCGGCATTTCAGGGAAAAAAAAAGGCGCGTGCTTGCTACTCTGTATTTCTTTTGTATAGTTGTCAAACTCGGTGTAATGATGTTGAGACCTTTTACATTTTGATAGATCACAGTGTACATGATAGATACAGGCAGAGTTGATCTATCACTGTTCTAGTTATTTGAACCGCTAGTGATAACTAGCTGCTCTTTAAGCTAGCTGATTAAATTGCCTAAGGAGGCCTAAAAAGACCTAAGGAGAATATACGCGTTGAATTTTAGCTGTGCAGTATCACCGCGATTACCATACGTCCATATGAATGGCCTTAGACGCGCAGGCACAAACGTCAACCATCGATTGAATATGCGAATCTGGTACATCAACCTATCTCTTCGAGTCTTTGCATTTTTTTTCTAAGCTTAAGCTTGAGTAAAACGCAGTCGATACAGTTGGTAATGACAATAAGTTTTTATACTTGGAAAAAGCAAATCCTCATATCACAGTAGACTCGTAGTGAAACTAATAAAGGAGGTTATGGTAACTGAACAAACAAACAAATAAACATTAAAACGAATGATTAAAAAATTGTCCAATTTTTATTTATTAGTTATTAAGTATTGGTAATAGCAGAAGCTTTTTGCTACATTGAAATGTGCAAACTGGATGCAGTTGCAAAATTAGGACGCGCGAGGAGGAAGTCCTAGAGATAGTTGTCATCTAAGCAAATGGACGATCATGAATCTAGTTGGAAATAATTTTGATACTAGGCATCAATATCTTTTATATTATTTAATTCTTGTCAAATCATTTCCACACGTAGCATTGCAAACCTATTTTTAGCATCTATGCTTAAAACGTTGATCAAGCCTCAACGTCTAGGCATAGATGCTGTAACATACACTCAGTGTTAAGAGACACACCTAGCTCGACAGGTCAGTCTAGCTATAGAATATAATATTATGATGGCAGCCAGAAATACTAGGGTAGAGTCCATAGATTCCCGGCTTAACCCGAGCTGAGGACCAGCTATGCGAAAACAGCCCTAAGATTAGATTCTACTAATAGATCGCTATAATCTCGCCTTGTTCTCAGCTTTTTCCGTGTAGCGTTATGCAACTGTCGCCTATCGATTCATAGACTCAATAATTCTGTAATGTCTGCCATGGATCTCTTGTAATAATTTTCCCTTTAATTGTTACACCCAGATCTTCTTAACGGTGGTTGAGAGGTTTCATTTCTATACCATTTCATTAGTAAAGAATCTTCACCGTTCCAGTGTTTATGTCATAGCAGATATCTTTTTTTTTTTATATAAACCAAAATGCAGAAGGGAGATGCGGAAAAGATGACGTATAAAAAAAAGACTCTACGACATACACCTACCTTATGCACCAACAGGACAGACGACAAAGGGTGCTGAAGATGGGTGGGCGTGTTTCCGTATATTCGTTTTATAATCTTTTCAATTAAAACAGATCACTCATAATCATAATTGCAGCACCATGAAAAGTGGCCTAGTCAACATGACAAGTTATACCGTGATAAGTATAGACATATTAGAGGATATCTAAGTATTGAACGGATAAGAAAACTATCCAGAATGATAGAAATGAAGAAACGACCTTATCAGACAATGGAAGGAGCGGCTGATCCGGAGCAGGGCGTGAAACAAAAGAAGAATGAAAAGAGAGACAAAGAGAGAGGGAGAGAGAGAAATGGAAAGGAGGCAAAAGAAGAACGAGTAAAAGATGGAACAGATGAGGTAAGAGTTCAGTGGTTAGAGACACTGGCCAATCTTTAAAGGAAAGTACGTAAGAAAAGGAAAAAAGGACGTTGAGTTATTTAATTGAAATAAAGGCACTATATCGTTGGCTGCAGCTAAAAATTTTTAAAGGTACAGATAGATAAGTCTAAAAATATAAATCTATTTACCCGCCGCGCTTTCGATTCATATGAAATAAATATCTTACTAAGCTTATCAAGTAGGCAATTAATTTCAAATTAGTCTGTAATAATAGGTAATAAAAAATCACTCACTATTGGGATCATGGAATGACTGGCCCGGGATTGTTTGATTGGCCACATTAGTGATATTCGAATTGGCTATCGTCCCGTCGGGCTGGGTAGGTTGTCTTCGCAGGTCACCTGTTCGTGTAGGCTGAAATTTTTTGTGGCAATCAATGCAAACCCAAGGTCTCTGAAACGAAAATTTATAATTTCATGGTATGTTAGTATGCACTGCGTAAAATATCAGGTATGAATCACTGCGAATGCAAAGCAGGATTTAAGTTTAATAGAATATCTTTGAATTAAGTTGAGTAAAACTTCCACTAAGTTAACATTAAGTATAGCCGTCTAAACAGCTCAGATATCAGTAATAATAAACGGAATGACTAAGATAATTGCACTCAACAAATACTTAAAGATTGGAATTTTGTAGAGAAGAAGAAAACTACACTCACTAGATGGTCCTATAACAGCCTAGCTGGCATGCTTTTAGTTCGGCGATACACAACATAAGGCGATACTTTAGTTAACGAATCTGTATTTCTTCCATAGTTTTTATTCAAGATAAAGGCAGCGGTTACCTGGTGATACGAAGGTTTACGTTTTGAGACAGTTAAGTAATACTCATTCGTGGCGCATTTCTAAAATATACGTTTAGAAGTATTAGATTAGCCAAAATCTAATGGCTGTTTTTGTTTATTACTTAGCTTTCCTATATTTTTGTTGCTGTTGCGGAGTTCTTTTCTTCGTCTACAAGCTCATTGTTTTGTCTCGATCATAAAGTTTTACTTTGAATTTAGACCTCAAAAATGTCCGGTTCGAAAAAAATAGCATTGTTGATATCTATTATTCGTCAGAATTGATCTATCAGTTGTTAAATGAACCCATATTGTACTAGCTATAGAGTCCTCGGAGTAGGTGAAGCAAAGTTTTTAATTACTTTCATAGCTTTTTGAAACAAACTAAACCTCGGGGTTACCTTTTTTCCATTCGGCGCAACTATTCGTAAAGCCACAAGTTAGGTCAATATCCTGTGGCCTAGGCAAAACGATGCCGGTAACCGTATAATATGTGACTACCAGAAATAGAGAGATTGAAAAAAATACGGCAGTATACAAAAGTCGCAGTCAATTTTCAAACACAATTTAATGTATTAGGTGTGGTAATGGGGTTCTCGCGGTTTTAGACAAAGGTCCCATTTTTCCGGTCATTTGTTATTTTCTTACGGTATGCAGCTCAAAGGTGCTTTTCATGCTCTATCAGCATCCTGCATTATGTTGTGGTTGCAACTTCAAGTAAAGAAACTTATCAAAAATAGATATTCCAGAAGGAAATAGGCGTATTTCAGTTACCCTCTGTACTATGCATTTCAAGTCAAAGCTAAAACGCTACCAAAACAACCTGGGACATGTGCCTTGTGCAAGGTAACGATGCTATTGCTAAAAGAATTGCGTAAGAATGGTCTGCCAAAACGGTATGCGGGACCCAAAGAACGCCTTCGTTCTAGTCGATCACTGGAGTTTGATGACAGCCATGTGAAAGCACATTTGAAAGAAGACGGCCGACAAAAAACGTGGGAATCGACCCGAGCATAGCCTGCAGCCGCACGACCGACGTTAAATATTTCAAAGCTCTGGGGGTTTGCACAGAAATTTCGAGCTTGTGTGCCTCATTAAGTCTCTAAACCGAGCAAACGATTACGGTTTCTACGAGCAAGGGATGTATTTAAGCATCTCTCTGATATCGAGAGTCACGTGGCCACAATGAACGATTTTTGCACAGAATTGTCACCGGTAATGAGAAGTGGTTTCTCTACGTCAACATAAACGTCGAGATCGGAATGGGTGGCTCCAGAAGAACAGTCGAGGTCCAGATTTCAATCGGATTTTCACCTAAAGAAAGACTATGCTTTGCTTTTGGTCCGCAAAAGCCTAAATCGCTGCGAAATTCTGCTCCAGAGCCGGATACCTCGTCGGCATGTCTATTTCGCCTATTATTTGCAGGCTATTGAAGAAAAAAGATCTGAACAACAAGGTCAGGTTATCCAAGTTGATGATAACGTAAGACCTCGCGACAGCAAAACCGCCTAGCTAGACTTCATGATGGCAGGTTCTTTTATATCCTCCTTTTTCTGCCAACATGGTGGCCACGGATCTTCATCTTTCCTGTTAAAAGACTAATCATGTGTGAGGCTTTACCCCCGACATGAATCAAGAACTTAAAACATAGTTGGTAGATTTCTTCAAGACAAAATTTGAAATCGTTTGGCGAGAGGGTATGCATATTTTCGTACATAGATGGGCAAAGTCATAAACCATGATGCGCAATAGATGACAAAATAATGGGATTACACGAATAAAAAGTGTGGTGTTTTCTCTTTAGTAGAAATATAGCGGAAGCTTATTATCCAACCTGATACGTACATACGGGATGGACTCCGCACGTTTATTATGGTAGCAGGAAGTATGCGAAGTACAACACATTCGTAATATGATCATTAAATAAATAGATATATAATATTATGCGATGAGCACGTTATGGGATATAGTATTAGTGGTATACATCGATAATGCAATTGGTCAACGTTTCATCATCTTACCAAAATAACAGCCCTTTTAATAACAGTGAAAATTCGACCAGTATTTGTGGATCTCTATAGTCGAATATCCTTGGTTTTACCAACAGTCTATGTGTAATCGAAAGTCTTCCACCCATTCCCTTCCTCAATTTAGCTTGTTCTCAAACGTATTGAAGTTCGTGCTCCTTTGTCTCAACGTTATCAGAGATTTAGCTAAACATCCGCTGTGATGTTTGAACATTAGTTAGTAATAAAACCAAGTCGCCATTGTTACATAAAGTATTTTAAAAATTAGCGCCTTAAGAACGAAAAACAAAAGCGAATATTTATTGTGAGGCTAATTCAGCCCAGGAAGTTTAATCAGTATTGAACGTGGCAAGCTAGAGGTGGCAAGGTACAGTTCTCAAGGGTGGGTTTCACTGCATCATGTGTTCCTCGAAATTTTTAATTACAGCCTAAAATAGCTTAGCATTAATTCCACTTCATGAATACGGTATTCCAAGTCATGGATTACTTTTTAACACATACGCTCCGTCACAGAGCCCTATAGCGTCGAACCATGTTGCAGCGTGCTCGTCAACAAATTGAGTTAAGCGCGAAGTCATGTTGAGGTCATAGGATCGGTATGCACACTGCTTTGGAAGCAGGTGGCGACGTGACTTGTTTGTGCGGTTTCTTTCACTTTATATGCGACTAAACCAGTCTCTTCGAAAACAAAGTTTTATGTAAATATATTAGCTATTGTTCTAACCTGCCCCATCGTGAACCGCGAAGGCTGCTGTGTTTACCGGACGATAGTCAGCCCGTCGATGCTTGTTTGCAAGCATAAGGAACGAAAGACGAAGCATACTATAGACATTTGTTACACCCTAAAATTATTGGATTTTAAACTATGACAAAGTTGTATTAGGTTGTCGCATAAGTTCGCATAGAATTTAGAATAAATTCAGATTTTTGCGTCACACACAAAGCTCGATGAGCAAAAAAAAGCTGTCTTGAGGGGCTTGGCTCCAGCTTGTTTTTTATCGATTCAATCGAACATTTCAATTAAATTGCACAAGTCCGCAAAATAGGAGATCTTCATTAGTGAGCGACATGCCTGGCTGTTCAAGACAACACAAGGCCTAGTCGAGACAGGAAATAGGCATGGAAAGCAAAAGGGTAGAGAAGATGTTGATTGCGTTGGGATTGGACATAGCGAGAAATGAAAACAGAGGACAGATCAGGGCGGTGAAAAAAAGACAAAAGTAGCAGGAACAGCGCGTGGCCGGTTAACTTACGAACAGGCATCGCTGGTCAAATGAAAAGATGATTTCTTCTGACGACGAGCACGGACCGGGACCGTTCTGCTTTTGAATAAGTTCCCTGCCGCTAAAATCTACTTCTGTTCATATCTTCTATAGCCACCACTGGTGATGCTATTTCTACAAAAGCCGATTTGACAGACTCATGTTCTACCTGGGACCGAAAAGAGGTAATCACTTACCTCTTTTCGTCTCCTGCCACCTTGTGATCTACTCTAAATGTGAGAAGCTGCAATATGAAGCAACCAATACGGAATGGAACGCAGCATATAATTCACGATCGAGACGCAGGCACCACATCGAGGACCAGCCAGGCAAGGCTCCCTTGCATTGTGAGTACTTGCTTTTCAGAATACACCGCAGTTTTGTCCGTGAACCTAAAGTCTGCGGATCGCAGTCGCTGCAGGAACTGCTTTATCGTCGCTTGATGCTCGCATAAATACAGCAACGGCAGATAGGTCAACGGGAGCAGGAAAACCCTTGACCCGCTCTTCCGCTCGGTCTGTCTATGATACATCCCCCTACCCCCCCCCCCCACGTGGAAGCGTGCTACATATACAAGTATGAACATTCCTACACTAAAATCTAATTGGCTGGTCATGATTTTGCTCGAGCTTTCTCTGAAATGTTCGTATCTACATAAAGATGCTACAAGAAATATATGGCCATAAGTTCAAAAATACGCTTGTATAAAAATACCAATCAACGATGACCATTAATTCACTAATGTCGATATGTTCACGGTATGAGTGCGGACACCAACTATACGAAACACTGCGAAGTGCAGATGCAGTTTGGTTCATGATGATAAAATTAGATTTAGCCTGTTGAATTGTAATAACAGTTTATCTATCTTGCATCACAGAGTACTCTGCGCATTTTATACGAAGCTTCACAAAAGGATTAGCTGTTTTTCTTCCATTACTTCGTTTTTCTTGAATCATTAATTGTTTGCTTGATGACCGTTTGTTATATGTTAGAGACCTAATATTGCGTACAAGGTTCATTAAAAACTTAATAGCTATAACATTCCTCAATATACAACAACTTACCATATCGGAACTAATAGATGTAATGTAAATAACTAATGTATAGATTCTACAAGGTAAAACATCTAAATGAGCTAAAATGAGGCTAGAGTATAAAAATATTGTACTTGCTTAATTTTCCTGTTTAGGTTTTTTTAGTAGACCTTCAACAATAGGTCCGAACGGGACTATATACGTTAAGTAGTTAACATTATTAAGTAGGCTTGTAGCTTACTTGTTTATAAAAAATCGACTGGGCCAAAAATAGCTAGCGACAAAGTGTAGTTTGTTCTTTTTTAGAGTTTCCTGACTACGTTTCAAAGGTAATGCAGCAACGTGTTAGCTGAGAATTAATACTTTAGAAGTTTTCCAAAACTTAATCGGCAAATTATAAAGGCGACGCATTATTTCTTAGACAACCGTTTGCCAAATACGAGTATCTTAGACAAAACCTTTGTCCGGGTCCGCTATAGCCTCCACTCATTTACCCCTAATAGATATTCGTAAATTAGAAATCCTTTACCGGCGTCTTTCTTACTTGGAAACGGACCCTTTATTTTCGAGTTTCTGTCAAACCGTCAGTTAATTTGATAATTCCAATGATGCCAAATTCTGCAGTGCCGCCCGTTGTCCTTAGAGATTGCCCTTTAATTTTTCTTCGATCTTTTCGAATTGCTACACAGGACCTATTTAACTGATCTAAGGAATGCAGAGAAACATCGAAATTTATGCAGACCCAAGCAACTGATAAATATAGAGTGAAAAGGGGGCTAGGTAATGTCTAAAGGTACCTTCACCAACCAAATAGAAAACAGAAGGCTCCTAATGTGAGACCCCCACTGGGCATATATCAGTGCTAGTCTTTACTGTTATGGACTTTTCAAATGAATGGTACACATTTGATTACTCACAGCAAACAACGAATTGTGATTTGATTTCTGCGCGTATTGAGATTGTACCTATTTTTCGTAGTTGTAATTTGCTTTATATAGTATCGTATAAGGGCGATAGAGAGCCGTACCTTTCCATCGGGTTGTGGGAGGGCGGTACCGCACCTAGTACACGCCACTCGGCCGCAGTCGACACAGCGGCAACCGGCTTCCAGGTTCAGGTCGGTATTTTTGCAAATGGGACATCGCTGCTGTGGCCTTGCTGCTGCTGCAATATCTCTGTAATCAGGGAAAACAGGACAAAGAAGTTCATATACTTGTAGCTTACATGATAAAGTAGCTGAATAAAAAATAGGTAACAAAAAATATAGTCATGCACATAGTTTCCTGAACGCATTTCAAAAGTAATTTCGTTGATTTTGCTCTGGTACATTTTGCTTGTGTGAAAAGTTAAATTACATTTTTAGAGTCCAACGTGTCGCTACCATGTATTGCTAGTGTCATTTCCAATATGTAGCTCAATCAAATATGAAATATCAAAGCTGTGTTACAAATATAAAAAATTAAATTTACAAGAAGATGCAGGATTTGAAGGCTTGGTCTTTATGCTCAGATAGATGCACTACAACGTAAATTAAAGAGACACAACAATTGTTCCTTGGTCCCAAAGCTCTTAAAACACTTATGCTGTTAACTAATTGGGAGCTTACGTCACCATATAAAACCAAGCACACTGGAACGTTTCCTATATTCGGAAAAATATCTGGGACGTATAATCTCAATAGACAAAAAATAGAACATAGAAAAATCAAAGACTATAAGGCTAATCTAGCCCACCATTAAAATCCATGATTTGTATCAATGAACGTAACTAGCTTGCACCGATATAGCAAGAGCAGAATAGTGCTACTTCTACATTATGGGAACACAATCCGGTTCGAGCATAGGAGTGCGACTTAGACCTCGTACTATCCCATCATTTCGACTACCACTAGAACCTCGTGGCGCATCAACTGGCGAGCTATTGGTGCGCAGCACCTATCGATGTATAGCCATAGAAGCCAACCTCTATCGCTCAAACTCAAAGAAATTGCGGTCCGTATATGCGCGAGCAGCTGGGAGTTTAATATTTGCTAACTGTCATGAGGGTGATCCAAGTACTCAGAAAATTATTCGTCGCTTTATAGTATTTTTTGGGAAAAAATTGAGCGAGGGATGTGTGCTAGCTTGCGAATGAAAATCGTTGAAGTACGTCCCGTTCTGCTCTGCCGACAACGACGAATCTGTGGACCCACTGCTGAACAAAGTGAGCATGGACCTTCTTGAGCAGAAGGAGCAGCCGAAGTTCCTCCGACTACCACCGCGGCAACAGGATGTCCATCAGGACTCTTAAGAGGCCTTGTTGTGAGTCTGTTGCCGCTGGCAAGACAGCTCCGATCGCGCCGAAGGCCGGAAGTTGTGCAACCTGGCAGGCTGCTTTGGAAACAATGGCACGCGCACGAGGACCCACAGGGCGCAGCATGATATCGGCCGCAGGATTAGGAAACCCGTGTGGGGTAGGCGGGTAATTAGGGTAAGCGTGACCGTAATTGAATATTATAGTTTGGATATATGAAAAAATTCGCATCTACAGCTACATCAGTGCTGATGGCGTGCCTAGTGGCGATATCGGACGGCGAGCGATATAAACGCAGAAAAAGTATTTTGGAAGTGCTTGTCTTTGTCAGCCAATAAAAAAGCTAGGACCGTTCGTTTCAATATGGTAATAATAGCACGTAAGAAGATTTGACACCTGCAAATAATGGTTTACAATAATAATAATAATTTATATATTCTTTAACTGATGAAAACATATATATATGTTTTCTATTTTTTCAGTTTTTATTTTTCTTTGACATTATACCGTGCTAACAACCGTACACACCAACGAAAGCAGCTTGTAAAAATCACGTAGCAATACTAAAATGCTGTCACATATTAATGAAACGAATTGCATATTATCTCGATACTGATTATTATTATCTGCTTCATTTACCAAATGAAAAATTTACATTCTTTCGTTTATTTGACTCTAGGGCTATATGTAATGAGATCCAAAAATAGACTACTGATCAAAGAGGAAGGTTCATGTAGAAATAATTTATTTGTTAAATTACGGCATTGGAGAAAGTCAGTGCCGCTTTGCACTAATATCTCCGCAGGACATTTGAGATTTTCATTACACCTTAATGAGGCCGATAACCATGATCTTAGCTTATATTCATCCAGTTAATGGCAAGGCGTCTGACTCCCTACAGCAGTCTCTGTTACGATGAAATTTTTCTGGTAGAAAAAAAAGAGTATGTGTGGTTTGAACCGACAGAACTTCTTGTCCAAAATAGGGCCATAACTATTGGTAATTTTCGTAACGGTGACGCGCTCGATAGGTGAATAAGTGTATACTCTTAGCACGAAGTCTTTACTCACCTTCTTTATTTGGCTGTTGCATCCGCAGAGCCAGTCGACCCCATCCGCCCCAAAACCGTCTACCAAGAAAGCTGTTTCCGATTAACAGGAGCCAAACATGCAATATCCTAGGTATTTCAACGTCTCTTTTTTTTTACCAAAGAACCCTACAAGCAAGTCACGATGCATCATTCCTGTCTATGTTTAGTTCGTGCATGAAATCGCATCTGCTGCAAAGAACTATAAATAAGGCCACAAACCAAACGGATGGATGCAAACAGCGCTGGTGGAGACAAGTGAAGATAAGGATTACAGCCGACTACTAAACGGTGCTTTAAATTTAACATCATTGGCTTCTATTTCTCTTAAAAATTCTACCACTACTTGCTGTCGATTCAGTACATTAGACTAAATAGCAATGAAACAGAATTATAAAACAAATAAATCTTGTTAGAGGTACAAAAATAATAAGGGGCCTAAATGTAAAATACGTAAATTGAGCATTCTCGTTGAGTGTTCTTGGAAGGTATCCGTCTAGCTATGGTAATCGGTCATTGATGTTTCTCCGTTAGTACTGTGGTTTGCGTTACACTAGACCTCAAAGGTAACAAAAGAACAGTAAGGAAAAAGCAGAAATTTCTATTTGTTTATATTTTAGGTCTAAATGTTGCGAATTTGATGTTCGACACCGCCGTTAGACTCATTCATCAGACCAGGCTCGCGACAAGAAACGAAGTGCATGAACGGCCGAATTCAAACCCAGACCGCAAGGTGTCACTTGACCTTAACAGGAAAACACGTTACCCACTACGTCATTACGCGGACCAATCTGTGATCTATTTTAGACTTGCACGTCTCTCCTAGTTCACAGTACATTGAATGGTGCTTTAGGACTCATCGTTGTTAAAACCGAAAAAGCGGTTTTTTGGCTTTACTTTAAGAGAGTCAACTCAAATGGAAGCAGAACCGCTAACTGATTATACTGTGTATATAGCCGATTTCATTTGACATACTGTAACGCCGTTCGTTAATCGAGTTCTTTAATCAAAATATATGTGTCTTTCGACCACCACGAGCTGAGTAATTTGCATTTTGAGAATAAGAGAAAATAAAGAATCGATTATAACCCATACGGTCAACGATGCACTGATACAACTCAATTGCGTACAGTTTCAGCTGGAGAGAACGAAGACAGTGAATCACAAAATTGAAGAATTCAATTGTTCGGGTCGTAAAGTTTGACACATTTCTTTTGGGTCGGACCCCTAGAAATCAGTGCACACACATAGCAGTAACCATGATCACTCTTATTATTCTAGGCTGCCACTCAAGGTCCCAGGGCCTCATCCACTCTCGCGCTATCTATCTCTCAGACCAACATAGGTCGAAGGCCTGGCTGCGCCTGTTGAGAACAGCAGAATGCACGATTTGCTGCCCATCCCTTCTTCTTTGTTAGTCTGGAGCACTATGCGCTTCCTCTACGTTACAAATTTGTGTCGGCTAATCACTTTGGCCCGATCCATTTTGTCTAAATGTAGCGTATCCGTATAGCGTTAAGCACATATAAGCCAAACAAATGCATGTTTCAATTCATGATCTTCCTGAGCCGTTCTCAAAAAACAAACCTTTTACTTTTATAAGTCAGGGCCATGATTTAGATTTGTGATGTAAACTCTCAATTTGTTTTACTTATAAGCTAAAGGCCAACATGGCTCCGGTTCCGACCAATGCTGCCAGTCGATTACAGTAGCAGAATAACCTAATAAATATATAAAAAACATACAAATAAAATCGAATATCTTATAGCTCGTACTCGCAAAAAAGTACCTCATAAAAATTGCTTTACTCTCGGTTGGCTTAAACGGATTGTTTTTATACATAAAATAACGCGCAAATAACTGCACTTCAATACTTTGTTTCGACCCATTTCGTTCATTGAAAAGGATATATTTAATTAGAAGAAACAATTGTGTAGCCTCACCGGCACTGCGACGCATGGTAGGAACAATAACTTTTGTCCACGGTTTAAAAACTATCAACTTTCTTTTGTCTCTCTTTCGGCGTTATTTGTATTTTTTGGCAGAGTTACAGGTGGCCGCGACAGACAAATAAACGTAGACAATTATATTTTTAATAAATGACCTCTAGAGAGTGAACAATGATTTCAGGTATAAAAAGCTACATTTAAAATTAGATTTATCTCAACATTCACACCCTAGAGTTCCCCATTTTCCCTAGATTTGCCCATTTTTAGCTAGTTTCACGACAATGAACGATTTATTACAGAGAAGCTTTTGCGCTGCCTGTACACAATAACAACTTCGATCCTTTTCGACCATCGAAGTTCAAATAGAGACATATCAGTATGAGTCATTTTTCTCCTTCTCTCACTATTGAATATTTGCAACTCAGAAAGGTTCGTTTCTAATATCTGGAGAAGTCGATTTTAAACTATCTCGCAAGTAGCGATAGAGGCGAATTATATGAGGCGACAGGCTGCTATTGGAGTCGCAGTCGTAGTGGCAACACACGCACACGCGGATGGGCATTGAGAAGACCGAGGCAATTTTTACGTGAGAAGCTGCAATAGTCCTAGATTATGGGTGCAGGCATCCTTAGAATTAAGGCGAAATTGACAAAAGAGGGCGCGGAGCTCTGGAAAGCGGAAGGGAGTCGAAGCTGAGCAGACCTACTGGCAGCAGTAATGATGGGGGTGGCAGTAAATAAAGCAGATGAATATCTCCGAAGGCACAAGAAAATTTTTCCACTTGCTAAAATAGCGCTATTACTTTCAGAAATGATATTAGTAGTAGTCTAAAGGCATTGATTCGATTATCACGCGCCATTTGGAGCTAGACGTTGTTGTGCCCGTACCTTAGCCGGGTATGTCAGTCAGGACAGGTAGCAATTATGAAAATGTCCCGTGTATTGCTGTACTTTTTAGGCTCTTCCTCAATATTTTAGATAAAGCGCGAGTTTTCGACCTTGTTGGTTTTAGCCTGCAAGCTGCCATATATAATATATAGAACTATTCAAGTTGGTAGTTGTATTCAATATAATACTGTTAATTATAATTATTATCATCATTCATGTAGTTTCATGTATGTGAATCCTTTCTGTTTACACATGAATATATATGAATTTTATAACGAAATTTATTTATTATTATTTAAAAAAATAACATTTAGCACCTTGATATATTACGAGTAATAAAATGCTAATTTTTACTGTGATCTTAACTGTCGTGATAGTAAACAAACTTCCTTTAAGACTTGGACAAATGCCAATAGCCGTAGATTTCCAAGAGCAAAGGAAGGAGCGATCTTTATTATCTTATCTACACGTTGCTTAATTAGTGACACGCTCTTCTTGAGAAAAGTTGAACGGGAGGCCGCTTCAGATTGCCAGCGTTGCGTCCTGTTGCTGTGTTGAGGATGCTGTTGGGGTTACAGACAAACGAGCAAACCCATTTTTTCCCTTAGATACCACCCCTCTATTATTCTGTCGCTACATCACCGGTCAGCTTTACTTTGAACCGTACCTTGTTCTTCGCGTAAAATCGATCGTATAGGTCTTTTACGGTTTTCCTAATTCACATGTCATAAGAGGCGTCTGTGCTAAATTAGGAAAATGATTAATATTGCTGTTTCCATGCTGGATGGAGTCTTGGGAACAACGTCAGATACTTACGCTAAATTCGTAGTTGGTTGCTGTGATGCTATGCTTCACCAAACCGGTGACAGTGAACCCAACGACTTTATTATTTGAACAACGAATAGGTAGGACACCGGCAATGAAGAAGGTAAAGGCGAAACGAATGTGATAAGGAGAGGGTAACGGGTTTGTCACAGCCGCGGGCACTAATAATGGCAAGGGCAAATTTGCAAAATAATGGCGACAACTTGAGGCACTTCATTGTCAGAAGGCCTACTGATGAGACGGATGTCCTCAGTAGCCAAAAAGACGCCATATATCAACAATGCCGAACAGACTCAAATGAAATATGCGTCGGTACGAGGCCGAGCATGCCTCAGACCCACAGCATTAATATTCAAAGAAACTCCTCTTGTAACTTCTAAAGCATGTGAGTCGAGAAACGGGCGGGGACCAAATGACGTTTACATTAACAACCAAGTCTCCCTTTTCCTTACAAAGTCAAGTATTTAAAGAACGATTAACTATGGGCTGAAGCTTGGTAGCTTCACGTATTTTGATAATTTGTTTCATTCACAGAGTCGCTTTGCTAATTATTTCCGATCTTAAAAAAGAGAAAAAGATCGTCTTATATACCACAAAAAGCATCAATATCCAAAAAGATACTTCTGGGCTCTCGCTCCTACCGCACCCAATGGTGAAAATACAAGGCAGGCGGGTCTGTAATAGTCTTCCGCTTGCCTAAGCAAAAATTGGCTTCAAGTACCTTTCTAAGCGAACGGTCACTGTGGCTGCTTTAAATTGTGTAAAAAAGCCAAAAAATAAACCCAAAAATGATTAGCAGACACACTGTAGCGATATAAGGAACCGGAAAAGGCGGTCATCCGTGATAGATGCGAAGAATACGGGAATGGGTGCAAAAAACCCACCGCTCCGGCTCAAGCTTTTGCGGGGCAGCTTTACTAATCTTTGAAACCATGTGTGGTTTGACATCGTCGTAAAAAAGCATGACATTGCCTTCTATGTATAGCTCTTCCCGTCGAAAGGTTCAGGCAACTGGATTATATAAAGATCTTTGTTGATTGTCTTGTTGTTCTCAGACGTTCTCCAGTATGTACGAACTTTCCCGTTCCGTCAAGTGCAAATCACAGTAACTCTTCAATGAAGACCTGGCCTAACTCTGAGTGAAAAGGCACCTGCTTTAACTACCTATTCATTCCGCTGCTTCATATCGTCGTGAAGACAACACTGCTCGTTATCCGACTTAATAATAAATATATATACCTGTCATGCTAACCGTATATTGGCTGATGTCGAGGATCAGTCAGAAGTCGTTTTTTCCGTGCGCTTTACTCAGTTTATGGGACGCCTAGGCTTCTATTTAGCGAAGCCCATAAACTTGAAACGTATAATCTTGGCAGCTTATCTTATCGGCCAATTAACAAGTTTTTTCACCATCCGAGGTCCTCACTGGCCTCAGATGGCCGACTAGGATGGAGTGCATCTTCCACACTTAAAATTCAATTCTTATACTCAGCAAACCCCTTCAAGTAGTTTTCTAAGCTATAGTGTCTTAGAGTACATGGCACAACTATTCCAAGCCGCTTTGGTAGCTTCGTGCCTAAACCGATAGTAAAATAGAATTAGATGTCGGAAAGGCATTTTCGAAGACCTAACTCGACGTTTACTGCATTTAAGGACATCGGATTCATAGAGAAGGATCTGGTTTTCGAATAGCAGATAAACAAATGAAACATTAGTAAAGCCTTCATATTTATATTAAAAGCTAATGTATACAAGTCAAGCAAGCCTCAAGTCACATCCGTCCGACGAATATGTAGTGCACCATCGATGATATTGACAGCTCTTAATGGGTAAACATTTGGCCAAGTCGTGTAGATCCAGTTAAATATTTGCCTATAATCCCAACTTTTGCTCGTCGGTATTTATTTAATACCTTGGTTTGAGAAAAGCGACCCGAACTCTATGAAAAAAATTAGGAGAAGTTAAATAATTATTGTGTAGTGATACGCACAAGACGCAAGACAGGCCTTATTGCTGATGCTGATTTTCTACTTCTAGAGATATCAACGTCATCGTACTTACTGATATATAGAAATCAAAGTTTTTCGAGCTGCCTGGAGCCCTGGAGTATTTAATCACCTACATGTCTTTACGCCGTACTAGGCCGTACGAGGCCGTGCGAATGGCAAGGTATCAGTTCTTTACAATGAAAAATCAGTGGAACTCACTCTGGCACTTGCCGATGACGGTACCGTAGTGCTGTATAGAGGTCAACGTAATATGATGTTGGTATATGCTGGCCGTTTCCTTAGTATCGTCGACGACTTAAACACGAGGATTGACAAACTAAGTGACTAAGTGACCCTTACACGCAGACATTACTTGATCGGCTAAATGACTTCGGGTGCCATCTTATCTACTATATTATATCAACTACGTTTAAAGATCACATGGGGAGGCCAGTAATCGATATATTCGCTTCGGAACCAATCAGAGGAATCCATCTACTAAACGAAAGGAGCAGTCTAGGATGACGTATGTCGAATAGAGTCGAACCGTGTTTTTAGCAAGGAGCAACCCTGCGAAACGACCCCAGCCTGTGGAAGAAGCTAGACTTAAGCAAACTGGGCTGGGAACGCTGTTCCCCATCCCAGACGTCGACTCCCACAACGAAACGCTGAAATCGTCCATAAAGAGGTCGCATCATTTGTATTAGAGGTTTAACACGAGTTGTAAGCTGGCTTCCGCTGCATGGCGGCAGACAAAACAATTCGCCAAACATCACCCGGCTACAAGCTGTTGTATGACTTTTTCAAAAGCTGCTACTAACGAATACTGGAGTCAACCTGTCAACGGTAGCTTGCGCTACAAGAGGACATATTGGCAAGGACGAAGAGAAGAGCCATGGCCGCGTAAAGAAAGATCGCTACTATGTCCGTTTGGTTCCATAATACCCATAGAACACTTCAAAAGTATGTACGCGGCAAGGCACACCGTCCCTGAGCGTTTCTTCGAATGCTAGTGTAATTGATATTTGAATACCAATGACGCGCAGAACGTTTGTTCATGTCTAAGGTATTGCGTTTTCAAGAGCAGTTCACGCGGCCAACATGGTCTTCTGCCGAACAAGTCTATTCAATGCATTCTTACAGCATGGGCGTCTGCCTGCAAAACGAAGTAATACCCCTTTGAGCACCATTACAAAGGGATAAGACATTTCACACAACCCATCTTCATGGAGGGCGATTGCGCCAAGCGTGTTGCCCATTTCCTCATACTGTGTACGACGAGGTTTCTAAAAGCTTGCTGATAGCCTGCATTGCTGCTGAACGATTTGCGCCTTCCTGTTCAGGGTATGAAGACGTCGATGTACGCTAACGATGTTGTCATCCTTAGAATAAATCGGTTTTACGCCTGGCAGGTTCTTGCAAGGGTCCTGTTATATGTGAATAAGACATTAGTGTCCAACATGGACAAAACGGAGGCCATGAAGTTCCTCTGCGGAAGCAGTCCTGCTGAAACTAACACACCCTGCATAGGCAGAACAGATTTAGGTACGTGACCAGGTTCAAGTACCTAAATGCGATTTTATTTACGAATGTCTAAGATTTTTTTAGGGTACATCATGGACAGAGTAGAACAAACGATAATGACGAGCGCGGATACACGAGCTCCTCCCCGACTTCCCCTTCGAGGTGTACCGGCTTTGTTCGAAATTAAGGTGGCCTTCAGTAGCTTTATATCAAATCCAGGCATCTGTCGTCGACGCAACTCGAAATATTTGGACGAAATAAAACTGTTTCTAAAGTCCGTTATAGGATCGCATCGCTCATCGATATGTTTTTTTTCAGGGGACATACGGCTGTTTGTAAAGGAACTGAAACACAGATTCAAACTGTCTATTATCCCTATTTATTTGAAGTTTATCAGTTAATGAAAAAAAAAAGATGGCGAAGATCGATCCCAACCTTTGCAACACATTTTTTTTGCCAGATGCTACATGCGTCTAAACAAGATGTGCTGTAAAATGCCTCAATACCCATGCAGTGTCTTCGCTGCGGAATCTCTTTTAACGGGCGTATCAATTTTAGAATTTCAACCCAATACTTTCGTACAAAGCAATTTGCCCACATTTAATAGATGCAACGTACATATATATATATATATATATATATATATATATATATATATATATATGTTTTTAAAGGTTATTTAATTTTAAAGTAGACTAAAATCCAATTTTTCCAAAACTATGCAATGTGTTTTTAAAACCTTCGTGTCTCCATCAGGCTTCTTCCAATAGTATCAAAATCCGCCCAGAACAAATATTCTTTTTAACTAGATACTATTTATAGGTGGGTTGAAAAGGGGCAATAATGACACATGCATTAAAACTCCAGGAACATTTCTTAAATGCAAATACACCCGGCAAATAAATTAGAAGTGCCGCAATGTGTCGCTTGACAAATATTTTCAAATTATAAATTATTCGCCGTCTTGCTGACTGTACGAATACCCTATGACAGGATTTTTATGTAAGGTCTTCGAGGTGTGATCGGTTTCTTCAGTACAAGCCCTCACTGTAGTATCAGTGAGGGATTAACTGTGAAGAATATAGTTAACTTTTACATTGAACTTTTTTCAACTTATTTCCTTATTATTATTATATTTTTCAACTTAGTATTTAAAAACAGACCACTTGAGCCAAAACCTAGAGCAAATACTTGCACTTCAAGACAATATCACTCCATTAAGTACGGACCATTTTAATCGATGATCTTCCGCTATTTTGTAAGTAGCATCACAATTTCATCATTGTAGAACATAGAGAAAAATGCTCCGTTGAAACCGCATTAATAGCATTATGGGAATTTTGCAAAGATCGGAACAGATAATAGTCTAACGGTGCAAGATTCGGGCTATATGGCGTATGCATTAAAAGTTCCTATAGGAACTTCTCGCAATTTCTGGCGAGTAGTTAAAAATACATGTGGTCTGGCGTTCTATTTACTAGCTTAATTTCTATTTTTTTTTTCAGTGTGATCTTGTGAATTGCTGACAGTAGATCAATCGTCTTGTCGATATGATACATAAAACCCATAACAATATAATGACAATAATAGAGTGCACGATTTCTTTCCAACATCATCAAGACGTAAGATAATCTTTATTGGCAGCAACATGGAGAAGCAGGGTACGGTTTTTAGTCGCGCATTGTTGCCGTATGTACACTGCTTTTCGTAACCTGTGATGAATCTGTTTGAAACTGACTTGGTTTTATTGAATTTCCATGAAGTTCCGCAGATGGGATTACGATCTAATGAGGTCTTTGCGTTCATTCGTGTGGTACCCAAACGAAGTTTTTTAGTAGCCAGCATTTTTTTCTATGGTTTATATTTACCTCTTAACGATACTACTTTTCGTGTCAGTCGTGTTTAATTTGCAATTAGCTTTTAAGAGGAGCACTTTTCCAGAACGAAAGTAACAGAACCGTGAACGCACCGTTACTCGTAAACCTTTTTCTTTTTTTTTATGAATCTAAGTAGCATTTGTGATTTCGTCGTTTTTCGATTTGTGAAGTCGTAGATGTGCTGGGTTTTAGTACAAATTTCACTTGTCTCCGAGGCGCTCCGTTTTACATTTCAATAATAGAATTTTAACAATTTTAGTACAGCTACAACTGTCTGTTGCAATAATAAATGATGCGACCCATATGATTTGAGTATGTGACCTAGAAACCTAGCTAGAATACCGACAGGTCTACCCAATATCTCGACCTTTAGCTAATTGTCATGCCGAAATTGATATATCTATATGTTTTGAACTTAGTAAACGCAAGCCACAATTGATATCAGAATAATAAATATTTTTTGCATCTAATAAATGCAATGAGAATATATTTTTAATTGGCGGTTAATGGATATGAAAGGCTGGATAGAAATACTTTATTTTTCCAAGCACCACAGTCACAAATGTTGCCATCTAGCATGGCCTTACCTAATAGAGGCAGCCCGAAAAGGCTGGTGCACAATAAACACGCTAAGTTATTAGGTGTCAATCTGTTCGAACGTCTAAGATCATTTCTAGCTATTGGATTGTTTGACGTAAAGATTCATTTTACGAAGTTTTCTAAGAAAACGAGCTGATGGCGGATATTTGAACAACTCTCTTAGAGGACTAGGATAACTCTCTTCTTTAGAACTGGAAGGAATAATCTTCGTTAGGATGTATTTGTCAATGCTTTAAAAATAGCCACTCTTGATCTTTCTTTTGACAATACCAAAGTACTTGTATATTGGACCGTGCACTGCTATAAGAGGAAAGGCGAAACGATTTGAGAGAAATGCTGAACGTTCAATTGGGGCGGACGAATACGCTGAGACACGTGGCTTTGGCATGGATCAGTACAGGGCGATTGAGGTAGGTTGAATAAAGCTTCTATATTCTTAGTAAAAATTAAGAAAACGAAACATCACAGTAAGATCTACTTTGAGGAAATGCAGACCATCATTACAGTTCTCCAATTCCTCATCAAACCCACTTTTCTCTTTATTGATATCACCAGTCGCTCGAACTCACGCGTTTAGACTTCCATAGCGCAAAGGCTGGCTGCTTTGTAACCGTTAATGAAAATCAACGACGGATTGCAAAGAGGAAAGTAGGCACGAGCAATACGTATAGCAGATCTTGGAATTGTTACGAAAACCAATTGACGTTTGAAACTTCCTAATGTGCATACTACATAGGGACACCAACAAGGTGTAAACGGTAGGTTCTTATAAAAAAGAATTTTGGAAATTTGAAGATCATTTGAAATAATTGTGTCAAGAACCAGATGAGACTGTTAAATTATCGCTAGGACCGCCTAACCTATTTTGCTACTGTTATTGCTGGCTACTTACTCAAGGATGGTTGCTTGCTGCTGTACTTGCTGCTGTTGCGCAGCTGCTGCCGCCTGTTGTTGTTTCTGCTGTTGCGGCGTGGTCTGCGTGGGCATCATTTTGCTAGCATCGCCGTCCTCTTGAGCACGGGCCATTACAGAAAGTATTTTTGCTCTCTCCTCTGCCGATAGATCACTCATGTCTAAGTCGGGCACCGCTGATGGGGCAGCACCACCCACAGTGGCGCTGGTCGGTGCACCGCTCGGTAGTGCACCACTTACCATACCGGGAGGTCCTGGTCCTTGGCCTGCGGGCCTAGTGGCTGGAAAACGGGGACCTGCGGCTCCCGGTGCAGCTGGCGCTGTTTGGCCACCTGGTTGTGCCGGCGTTTGATTCGAACCAGGCGGCGCCTGGCTATTCGTGGTCGCCGTCGTGGTGGTCGTGGTAGTGTTGCTTCCACCACCGAAACCTAACAAGCTGCCCATGCCGCCGCTTCCGCCGCCTGGACCCGGGCCTTGTGGACGCAAGCTACCCATGCCAGGTATGGTTGGCATAGACGGCATCCGTGGCATACCACCCATCATGCCGCCCAGGGGGCCACCTCCGCCAGCCGGCCGAGGACCCCCCATAGCTCCCATTCCGGGTGCGCCACCACCTCCTGCACCAGGAGCACCTCCCGGTGCCCCTTCTTGTCCAGGCTGACTCTCCTCATTTCCCATGGTTCACTGGTTGCTTATTTCTGCTGTAGTAGTTATTCGTATGAGGGAGGTCCGCGTCAAGATAATCCACACGTAAGTTGGACGGTAGCTGTGCTTGTTTTGATTTAAACCTATTCCGCACACGAGTCTGTGCACGTTTCTCTCTTCCTTACTTTTACTGGTATTATTCACCTTCTTATTATGATTCCTGTTACTCTTCCTGCTTAAACTGTCGTCTATTTGATCCGTTATTCAACGATAATGATAATTTAATGTTACGATAGCTCATGGCCTTTCTCTCGAGCCCTTATGAAAAGTGAGAAGTGTACTCGTATTTGTTTCTCTTACTCTGTGGCTGGGCCAGTGTGTGTATTGTTCCTTTTCTGGTGTGATGCCTTGGGTTATTCTCGCTTCTTTCGGTCGAGTTTATTTCTTCAAGTGCGTGCTGCTCTGCTTATTTGGTGTTTCTACGATAACTGCCTGTATCTGAATATTTATCATATGCTCCTTGGCTTTCCGACACGTCGCCCATTCGTTTGCTACTGACGCTGCTGAATTGTCACTACCAGCTACTTATGGATGATCGCGGTCGTCGCCTATCGCATTTTCCTTTGGCTATTCTTTTTCTTACGATACGGCAAGGTCCGCGTACGGTAATGACGCTCGCAAAGTCGCTTTATGCTATATGCTTCTTTTTTTTTTCTTTCTAGCTTACTGTAGGCTTTTGCTTCGGCGTAGGCCCGTCGCTTGCATAACCATAGCCTGCTGCCTTAAAGTAAAAATTTTGTATACTGCTTCGTACTGCTTTCGATAATGCTGCTGTTGACAAGGGTAACGTCGCTCTGCTCGTTGTTTGCGTTATCTTCGTATCGTAAAAGTAGTAATAATAGTATCTGCTGTTGTTGTTGTGTAGTGCGTTCCAGTTGGTTGCTCGGCTTGGGGTGGCGGGTGGCCGCGGGAGGCCGTGGCGGGCCCCTGAGCGCATTAGGCCCGACCTGCCGTCCCAATGGTCGGCAGACACTGTCGCCCACGTTGGCCAAGGCGGCCGAACCGGCCAAAACGGCCAAGGTGGCAGGGGGCGACGACTCAGGGCGGCTGCTCTAAGGGCCTGTACTTGGCCCGGCCCCCACCGCAGTGTTACTACTTCTGCTTCTGCTGCTGCGGCCGCCGCTGCTGCTGTCAGCAAGCAAAGAATATCAGCGTCAGCAGCTATCGTGGCTACAATTATCGTGGAGGCGGCGGCGGCAGTAGCGATTGGTGTTTTTGTTGTTATTGTTGTTGTTGGAGTAGTTGAAGCGGCAACTCGGGAGCATCATATCGCTCACCGAGCAGCAGCAGCAGCAGAGACAGCAGTGGCGGGAGTTGCGATAAATGCAAAGCTCTCCCAAAGATGGTCGTAGATCCTGGCCGAACCTACAGCACTATACGTACTTTTAGACCTGTTATTGTTGTGCTGGTGTCTGATGCGCCACCCGCCACGGCCACCGTGGGGGGCCTGGCCGCTCGGCTGCAAGGGGGGCCTGGCCGCCCGGGCCCTGCAGCACATCACTTCTCCCGCAACCACCCGCGACCACCCACTCGCAACCGCCGCTATCACCGATCGTCGAGCGTTCAACGTTCGCTCGTAATCCTTTAACTACTGACCGCGAAAGGCTTCTTCACTGCCACGAAGGACACCGCTAGGACCTACAAAACAACTACCACCACCAGCCTTATCGCTGCCACCGCCGCCGCCTCCTGCGATGCTATTGTTACTTAGATCACTGAAGGTGATAATGACGATGAAAGCCTTCACCGTCGACCAGCTAGTCAGCAAGGCGGCCCACGCTTCGTCGATTCGATGGTCGGCAGCAGCTAGACTCGACAGAAGGAGAAGGGTGGTTGATTTGGCCTTACTCCTTCGCCCTAACGTCGCGTAAACGTTAACGTTGCTGCCACTGTTTCTCCTCCGGCGCCACCTTCACCATCGAAGCACTGGCTTAGAAAAGAACTGCACCTCAGGACCACTATTGTTTCCTCCGTGTTGTCGCGAGCAAGCTGTTTGCATCGGTGATTCCTGCACTACTGTCGCGTGAAGCTAATCCGCGTCTGACCGCATACTCTATCTCGTCTGCACCTGTGCTGCAACAGCAGCCCTGTTTGGGCTACCCTCACACATCACTGATACGTATTACGTAGTAGTTGCTTGTTTTCTGTTCTACAGTGACTATATTGCTTACTGATAAACAGGAATCTGGCTTAGTCATCACTCAATATACTATTTCGTCTAGCCCTTCGTCGATTCGGCTTACAGTGGATCTAGGGCAGGAAGCAAGCTCAACTCGACAAAACCTCAACGGGGTAACCCTCAGGCTGCAGTACCACCATTGCTCTCACTTCAAGCAGAGTTCGTGTCGTTCCACGGACTCCGCAATGCCAGCAGCAGTAGAAATGGCTGCCCGCCGCACTCCGCCAACACCCCGCTGCTAGGCCACACTCACACGACAGATAGACAGGCAGACCGTTCGCTCGCGCGAGGGGCACACGACCAACTCACACATACATGCACACATACTAGCGTCGAGTTCATCGACGAGCACCAACCACTAATACCACAAAACGGCATAACTTCAGTACAGCCAAGCAGAGTTAAAAAGCGAAAACTAAGTGAACCAACCCTCTGTCCATATACATATACTCCGTACTGCTCAGCGTATGGACAACGACAATGGTCGAGCCACTACAGATACACGCACCTAAAGCACACATCCATGCAATTACCATAGTCTAAAGCATACGTCACGCGACGCGCATCCGGCTGGGCCACCAAACGCCAGCCATAGACACAAAAGAGAAAGGGAAACGGCCTGACGAACGGCCAACCGACTGACATACAGATAAACAGAAGGCCACAAGGAAGGCAGGGTACGACAAACGATGGTAACAGTAGAGGAGAAAAGTTCCCTGGTGGTCACAGAGGCACACACTCCTCCTTTATCCTCCTGCCGCTGCTACTGGCAACACTACTGCATCACCCACAGCGATCTGGGCCACTCAATACTTGCTATTACCCCTCCCCCCCTCCCACACACACACTTACAACCTTTCTTCTACCCCCGTACAGTACCCTACATATTACTCCGGACGCTAACGCTGGCTGGATTGCTTGCTTCTATCACGACCATCCTGCAGCATTGAAGGACCGGCAGGGGAAGCAGTCCTAGGTTTCAGGGGCGGGGGGACATGCGCGCAGCGTTCAGTGCTGCTCCCCAGAGCGGGCGAAAGCGCCGGGGGCCTCTGACGGGCCCGCTAATTTCGAACTGCCCGCCAAAATTTTCAGCGTCGGCACTACTTTCCCTAAATCGTTAAGTAGAGTATGAATCGGACACACGTGGATACACTCAAATAGTTAATGTTCTTGTTGAAATTGATGTTTGTTATCAGTCTTTGCTCCGAAACTTTCTATATCGGCAAGCTTACTATCATGAACTTCATCATACATCTCGTAGTTCCTGATCAGTTTGTATTACTGAGATCTTTTCAAAGATCATTTGACTTCGGCATAATAGCGTGTCAACTTTATACGAGCATACGTGGTCCTCCGTAGGTAGTCGTCTTTCAGTTATTTTAAATTATAAATTTTTAAAAAGTAATCAAATATTCTTGTTTAAAAAAAAATGATAAAAAGTCAGACGTCATTTCTGCTAAGACTATATTACAATTTCTTTCAAATGAAATCATATCACCTTTATTAAAAACAAACGGAGAAACTTCCACAAGGCCTATTAAAAGCCTAGAGAGTTTCGCATTTGACAGGCAGCTTTAGAAACATTTTACCTTGCCGTATAAAAAATGACTTGGAACACATCATCTAAAATGAAATTTCACAATAGAAAATTCTTCATTCATCGAGACTGAGGTTGCTAGATCAATTTAGACTTTACCTGTAAATAGTACTAGTACAAAATACTTCAAAATTAATCTACTAGGCTAAATCCAGCATTCGAAAGTAATTTAGTGACTGTCACCATGAAACCCGTTCCGTACATCGTTTGCAGTGTCCTGGATTCTAAGAAAATACGTTTTGGATTACAGACTTCGCTAGCTTCCGCCAATAATAACACCCTGATTTTTAGTATGATCTGGCGACTGTGAATTTGCTAATTTTTATTAGATACATTATTTTAAAAAGCTTAAAAATTGCACTGAAAATGATAGTAAAGACGACATTTGACTGTTGGCAAAATACAGTATTTTTCTCAAAAAGGTATTAAATTCTGCACCCTCTATTATGGGTCAGAATTGCAATGTTTAAATGGAATAGATCAACACGTAATGAACGTTACAACTATATTTATATCCAGATCGGTGTGGCAGGAAAAAGCCACCGACAAGCAGGACCTATTGCCCTGTGAGCATCGGGAATTGACTAATCATATCAGCCGTTTGCTAAATTTTAAAATTGTAGTTAGCACTACACGCATCCTGTTACATGCGTGCGGTTGTTGTAGGCAGGTTGAAATGACATAATTTAACCAACCTATTTACAGCCAAGGAGAAATTACCACTCAGTTTGCTTTACCAGACCTAGTTGAGCTATAAAATGACTCAAGCATCCCTGTACTATCACGATCTGTCGTTTAATGTAGACATAGGTAAGGCACACACGAGTACACAGCTCAGACTGTGTCGATGCAATCCCTATTCCAAACACGTCACCCATCAGGTGTATTTCTTAACTCGTAGACTAACAGTAGCAGATTGGAAGCGAAACGCCATCGTTTCCTCCGAATTGTGCCTAAAGAATTATCGCAAACATGCTCCGTGATCCATCAGTTCTTTTGAATAGCAGTAACACTACAACCGAAGTCTCATAAAACAAAACAGGGGCACAGAGTCACGGTAAATGCACACAAAACGTATCTTTTTTGTCTCGTGTGATGGCAACCCCTCGTTCAGCCAATACAATTTACTGACGTAAACACAACGGCTAATTGGTATCTAATATCTACAAAATACTTAGTACTGATGGTATGAATGGTACCGCTAACTTCTGCAAACGACGACCAGAACGAGAAAGGATTGTCATTGGTTGGGAGTTTTCATGTCAAATGATCCAGTCTCATTCAAATCACTACATCATGATCATCATTACTTTCACTTTTTTTCTGAAAAAGATTCAAGGTTTCACTAAACTTCCAGGTGTCTTATGCATGATTATCGGTGGAGTACTAAGTGGATAATTAATATAGTCGGCGTTGTATCAGAATCAGCTGTCATTTTCAGGTTTTTCTGTTGAATACATTTATTCAACGGTGACAGACTTGGCCAGGTTTCTTGGGCAGTCGACGTTGCACCCACGTAATACTGCAATGTGATACGATAACAACTGGAGTGGAATTACAGTCAGAATCCCTTGTAAACAGTCGACTGTGCCCGGTACCTGAAGACTTTTGTAGGCCATTGACCGGGTATCTTCATCCTCTTGCTCACAGATGATTATCGGCTTTCCGCCCCGAGCACTCACCTGACACGGTATCAGACAGTTAAAAGACTATATGTACCACATGCGCTGTAGCTAAAGTATAAAATTTCACCGAGGCAAGATTATTGATTAATCCTAAAAAAAAAGGAAAGCCTATATACTTAACCTTGCGTAGGCGAATTATTACCTGCTGGAGTGCGTTGATGCACTTTTTGTAGACCGCGTCTCGGCAGATCACCATGACTACGGGCATTTCGTCGTCGACAAGTGCCAGGGGTCCATGCTTTAGCTCGCCTGAGAGAATGCCTTCCGAGTGCATATACGTCAGTTCTTTAATTTTAAGTGCTCCCTCCAGGCAGGTAGCGTAGTTGAAGCCTCGACCCATAACTAATAGCGACTTATTGTGGTGAAGATGTTCCGCGAGAGTCTTGACTTCGTTATCGAGGGCAAGGACGGTTTTAATCTGACCGGGAAGCTTCTTAAGACCTTCGATGATAGCCTCGCGACGTGGCTTCATCGAGATACGGTCTTCGCACATCATCAGAGCAAACATTACAAGTGATATGAACTGTGAGGTATACGCTTTGGTGGAGGCCACGCCAATTTCTGGTCCAGCATTAATGTGAACCCCACAATGTGACTCGCGGCAAATAGAGCTACCCACTGTATTAGTGATACCGACAATTAATGCACCTCTGTTTTTACAATAGCGCAAAGCAATAAGCGAATCGGCTGTCTCTCCAGATTGCGATATAAAAATGCATACGTCATCACGGAAAATTGGAGTATGACGATCTAGGAAGTCCGATGCCAACTCAACCATCACTGGCAGCTCTGTCAGTTCTTCGAGGATTTGTCGAGTCTGTAAACATGACCGAAATATGGCAACTGCAATTCTTCTTTTAATATATTCTGTCAAAAGAAAAGCCTGTGTAGCTGATTATGCACAAATAACTGCAGCATCACAGCTTACCGATTGTTGATTTCACCGACTGGTCTTTCTCTTTATTAGTTAGTAAAGAGCTGTCGGCAAAAGACAACTGCTTCTGTATCTGCCATAACTAATTAAGCGCTATACAAGATTTACTGTCTCTGCTACTCAAATCCGTCCTCCTTCAAAATTTAAGGGTTTTAGAATGTACACAAAAAAAAAATTATCGAGATTGCGGTAGTTTTCATAATTCGATGCCAGGATTGTATGCGTTAATGTAGAGCATGCTGTGATTTTCGGATCAGAGTGGTACCTTTTCGGTTGGATACTTAATTTCCGTTTTTCACTAAAAAATTAAAAAAAACTTAGATCTTATTAAGCGCGAGTCTAACTAAAATTGGAATGAAGTGACGGTCAAAGATGACGCCAACTCACACAGTAGATGTCACACAATATAGGGAGTTTTAGCCAGAGGATACCTTCATAACGGTCAGCCTGGTTGTAAATGTTATCCAACATTCACAGTACAGTTTAATGCTCGACGGCCTGAATGTAAGTATACATGCATACGCATAACTTAACAGTAGTGTCTCAAGCCTAACTTACCGCTACAGCACTGTGATAGCTAGTTCCACACCCTATAAGAAGTAGCCGCCTACAACGCTTGATTTCCGGTAAGTAATCTATGATTCCTCCCAGCACGACCTGCGAGTTCTCGAAGTTGACTCGGCCACGCATCGTATTGATCACCGATTCCGGTTGTTCAAATATTTCCTGTAATTCACAAAAATACCTATATGACACATACGTTTTACCAGTGCCCTGTTGTATATTAGTGATAATAGCTCCACCGATTCCAGAGCTGCGCCCTAATGGGAATTAACGATTATATCGACAACAATGTTTCGAATGAACGTCCTAAGGCATACGTACTTGGCGTACTTGCTGTGTTATTTTTTTTTTTCGCATGGCTAGCATTCTATAAGGTTGGAAAATAGCCTAATATATTTTTATATTAACAAAATGGAACCAGTACTTGTTACAACGGTATCTGTGTTCATACCTTCTGCATAAAAGACGAGAAATTCCCTTTCATGATCTGTTGGATTTCCATCCTAAGAGTAATGATTTCTCGGTTGACGTTCTCATCTAGCGTTCGCTTGACTCGATGGATCGTAAGATGGCCATCACGTACAGCCGCGACATCGTCATCCTCCAGAAAAATAACCCTGCAACATAGCGATTAACTACCACGAATTTGAAACGCCGTCACACACAAAGGTTGTCCCACCGTTCAGTCCGAATTTGTTCTTACTGCGTCAAATAAAGAGGTCCGCTATCGCGGCCACCCAATACTTCCAGTTGCTTCCAGTTGAATGGCTTTACGTTATCAGAGTAATGCCCATTCGTAGAGTACTTCTATGACAAAAACCAATTATGTGGCCGGGCATTCATGTGATGAAATACTCATACGAACCCCTCTTCCCGCCTTAAGAAGAAGCAGATGTTACTGTAGTCAGAGTGATAGGGTTAAAAGGCTCGCAGGACAATTTCTTAAAAGACCGCTACAACCTGAGAGAGTATGCCGCATTTAGTACGATATAGGTTTCGCGTAGTATTTGCTACAGCAGTGTTTTAGGCATAATCTTATTCGTTTGTCTTAGAATTTCGGTAAACAGTTTAGGTGGAATTGTGATCCGTCAATCAACTGATTTTTTGTTGTATCAAGCTTTAACCACAAATTCGAACTAGACCATGGGGAAACTAAAACATGGGCATGAGCTTTTCAGATAAACCTGAATATCGTTTATCATATATCTAAAGGATTACAGCTCAAAGTACAGAAAAGTCGAATCGATTTCTATTTATTAAATTCTAAATACCATCCAGCTTCCACTAACCGATTAGTGTGCTCGATAATCGCTGAAGCGTCCGAGGCAAAAAAATACTCAATTCTTTTATCTTCTCCTTCAGGACCAAAGTCAGTAGTTGATTGGCTTCGCTGGATTCCACCAACAGGCGTCGGAGCAGGAGTTGAGTCAGACCTCACTTCTATTCGTGGTCAACAGCAGCGGGTTCCACCATTGTCGAGCCAATAGAAATTGCCGCACGACAATACGGGGTTTTCAAATAACAGAAGAAAAAGAAGGAAAAAACGATGCCCTCACCTTAGGAAAACTTCAACCCATCGTAAGTACAATGAAAACGTTCCGGAAGGGAAAGACAAATGAGCGATCTCAATAAGTGCAGCCATTCACTGGAACATACCGCTCTCGGCATTGCTCCAAACATGCGCACGTAAGTACAGTTGTCGCTACATGCGCCTACGTATTATAATTATTATTAGTATTGCAATTATGATCATTCCTATTGTTTTAAACGAGCACCAGGACCAACCTTTGTACTTCCGCTAGAACTCTCGGAACAAACCCGCCCACTGGACTGATTTAGCCAACTTTTAACGGTTACTATTAAATGACTATTATCATACAGTGTCGCTGCTGACTGTTGTTGGATCAATAGCCAGCCACGCTTGTAAATTACTATAGATAAGAACGGCAATAAAATGGACACTGGCCAAAGGTTAATAGGTGTACGGATTTCTGGACAGCGACTTTTCGACAGCGTATCTAACAACTGGATTAACTGTGAGTCATAAGCGTTTATAGTTAGTTAAAACGTCAGTTTGCCCGTGCAAGTGGCGGCCTCGTGAGTGCACTTTTTTAAGGGAAAAACTGCAATGGACTAACTTATTTATTTATGTTGTTTGGTTGAGTGAAAAATATAGGGCGCTGTCTGGATGAACGCCAAACCCAAATCAATAAGTATGTGTTAAGGCTGGCAAAAAAAAACCTTCAACATAATACACCTGTGTTGATAATGAGTCCGCTCCATATCTTTGGCTCACAGCGATGCATGTAATCTAATAGGAAATTAGAATCGCCAGAATAGCGAATTAAATTCTAGTTGTCAACGGCCATTGCGATAACAAAACGAGTCGCCAAAATCAAGTTGATATTAATAAAGAACAATTGATTAATTCCTATTCGGTGATGATGACATTCTAGGCGGCGAGTGTTGCATTTGTGTGCTTCGAACTTCGTTTCTGGCTTTTTTTATTATTACCTTGAAACACGGCTGGTGTGGCCTCTGGCCGAGGTGGGAGTGTAGGAGTTGGGAAGAAGAGACAGGGACAATACAGGATTCGTGTTGGAATAGACAGCGGAAACGTTAGATACATACAACACGGCAAAGGTAGAAGTACAGCACGAGAATTCGAAACTCATCTAATCTAATATTAGAATGTTATACTGGCTTCATCTGACAATACCTCAATGGTCCCATTGGCACCTGAGGCAACAACGCAACTCTAACGTGTTAACCCAGTTACAATAACTGGGAAATGAACTCTGCTTATTAATAAACGCAATGAAAACTACGTGAATAATGCGTTCATGTTACGTCATCCAACAACACCTCAGATGGTCCCCAAAACCATAACATCCGCGCTAAATACATGCTGGATATTTTTGCCCCGAAGAAAACACAAAATGGAAATAGTGAAGTTTAGAAGCGTAGCCGTATTCCGAAAGAGCGGGAACAGTGACGCAAGACGCTGGACGAAAGTACTGCGCAATGATCTATCGTCTGTAGTTCCGTTCTTTATTTAATAATAGGTGAGTTAAATATGGTCGGTGGCATTTTTGCTGCTTTCCCATTTTATATATTCTGCTAAAATAGAAGTGTAATTTTTTTGAGATCAATTTTTTAAAGAATCATTGATATATAATAGCTATGCGCATTACTGCACGAATACATGCAGTCCTGCGTGAATTGTAGCATGTGCACTACAGGCTACTAGGTGCACCAATCTATTTATGCCATCAACAAAAACAGATCGGCAGATTAGACCGACGTTGCTTAACTGCGTATCGGGGAATAGAAGTGTATGGGTATTTTGTCGCCCCTCGTCATACGGCATCTCTTTGGCATTCATTGCCAGACAGAACATCGCAAATATAAAAGAACAGATTCACATGACTCAAGTCGTTATGGTATAGTACGATTCACTTTCTAACACAGGCCATTAACAACGAAGCACACAGCAAGTAACTGGCTAGCCGATATTTCACTCCAGGAGACAGGCTCGATTCGGTTTTTGATATGCGATGTCGCAAGTTGGGAGAGGCTTGACAAAGGAGGGAAATGACACGGAGACTTACGTAGGACGACAGCGGGTAGGAAACTACGTAAGCATAGTAATCTAGCGTCTATCGGGCGTGCACTCTACAACTTGTAAAACGTCCACAGAGTTTGCAACATGCGATAGTTTGCCTCTGCAAGCCTGCTGTAAAGACAGGTCATGCCGGTACAAGTGGCCTTACGGCGTGGTAACGTTTTAACTCACTGTGGATTGACCAAGACCCGATGGGCGCATTCCCAGCCTTGATAACTGCACACCCTGAACGATAATATATGTGTAGCACGCACCAACACGGTTGACCCGGGCGCAATGGGAGCATAAGAAAGTAAGTCAGTTGTTTAGTGGTGCAACCGTCACCAGGTCGCTATTCCCGTTATTTCTATTAACATTTCTATGTCGCCTACGGTAAAGTTATTTAGCGCATGTTTTATAGCCCAGACTTTACATTTAGAGCAATGCAACAGGGTTCAATCAGTCAATAATGATTGTAGGCTAAAAGACACATTACTATTATTATTCATAATATAGAACTTACTCAAGCTGCTCGTGGTTTGACATTTTAGTAACCTTGACCGACTATTGCAGAAATGCTCGACATCTATATACATACATACACGTCAAGATATATGTATATATATATATATATATATATATATATATACATATACTTACACACATGTATGTTATGGCCTCAATAGGTTAGAACATTAGAGATGTTACCCTTTCCGTAGAGTACCGGAATGTGGCTCGAAAGCTGCTCCTTGGTCTTAAGTCCTACAAGCAGGGGAGAACCTCGCCTGAAGGCAGTAAAAGAAGATAGATCGTATAATTATGATACGTTTACTTTTCCCTAACGTCCACAAGGTCGCGTACAGTCGCTAACTGCATCGACGAATTTAAAGATGGCGTCAATTTCTAGCGCTCACATATATACCGGTCTGTGTGCTTAGTGCACGGGTCCGCGTCAAATACGTGGCTTCCTATGTGGCTTTAAAATGCAAACATTAACCAATATCGTCCAGTTACCAATCGTTACTATTTACTTGGCTCCTTACTTTCGTAGGCAAGTAAGTTGTCTATGTCTGCACTGAGTTTCAGTCGTTTGTATTCAGTTGATTTATCGTTTTCGTATAAGCATAATTCTACACAACCTTGAGAAGCGTAAAGACGCAACATCGATCGTCTTCGAAATACTACGGACTTGAACTTGTTTCACGTAAACAAGAATTACCCGTGATTCAAAACCCGTGATCATGGTATCCAAGGCAACGAATAGCCAATAAAGGGTAAGTATTTCTACCCCAATCTTTTGAAAACACGACAAATTACCGAAAAGCAGTGTTTGTTTTAGCTTTAGTTTTTTTTTTTAATTAGACTTTTTATTATTGTACTTTTATTTATGTTGTTATTTTATAGATATTAAAATTTTATAGGCATAGGCGAAGTTAGTGATAAAATGAAAAAGCTGTGCGAACAATTTCTCCCGCTATAGTCCTGTAGTACTTTGGACGGTGCTTCAAATACATTTGCTTCAGCCAAAGCCTTAACGCCATCGACGACACATAGCGCCGGAACTTCAAGCTGGTCGAAAATAGGTTAGCACACTACTAGGAAAGTAGGAGAGAAATATAGCACACCTAAAAAACAATTTGTTTTTGGAAACACTGGCCAGAAGTCACAAAGATTGGTGTAAGAGAATGGCCAAACTGACATTGATATCTAGCAAGGATTGGTCGCTAATAATAAAAGTGAGCTGGTTTCAGTACGCACTTCGTTGCCTTTTAATTAGTTCTGATCCACCAAAATATTTACGTAATAAATATACTCTTTGTACATGAATGCACTCACCTGGCAGCCACACATTGATTTGGGAAACGAGAACTTTTGAAAACTAGAGCAAAGGCCCCTTCAATCTGTTGGATGGTCTGTTCGATAAGCTCTCGAAAGCTTAATTCCGGGTGTGTATCAGCCAAATGGCGTACCAACTTCACGATGACTTCCGTGTCCGTATCAGACTCAAATTCATAGCCTTTTTGAATCTGCAGAAAACAAAGGTTGCGATACAAAATGATTACTTACTGTAAAATCACCAAAACAACAATTAAGGGAATATGGTAAACTACGCTTTTGCTCACTCCGCTCAATTACTTCGAGATAAAGCAATTTACTACGACTATCCCCCTAGCCGACGTTCTTGATCAATATTAAATCGATGCTGCCTACGTTAACGTTCAGGCCACATTCATTTCGATTCATACCAGAAACTGTTTGATGTCTTTGTAGTTAGTAATAATTCCGTTGTGTACAGCAACAAATTCTGAAATTGAAGCACGAAAAAACAAATTATTGTAAGTACTACGAATACTTAAGTGTAAGTCGTAAGACAAGTACGATTCTTAATCGGCTTCATGCAAACAGAAACACATAAAATTATAACTGCTCAGACTAATTAGACATCGGCTGGGTAATATTCTCTCACAAAAAGACTTCGAAAGGATCGTGAAACGGTCGTCTGACTGCGTCACAGTTACACTGCAAATCAATTTTACGGTCCGTGGAATCTTTATTATCATCGATTGTTCGGTGATAAAAAAAAAATCAACAACGGGCGTTATCAGTATGATGACGCTGAAAAGCTTTAACAACGTAAACAGAGCTTTGATAATATCTGGTTTTCACTGATCTAGTGCTTACCGTTGTTGTTGTCACTTCTATGTGGATGTGAATTCAAATCAGAAGGAGCGCCATGTGTGGCCCATCGGGTATGGGCAATACCAAGATGCGTATCGAGAGAGCAATCGAAGTCGATGTCCTGATCATGGAAGACAGCCTCTTCAAGCACTGCTACCTTACCAACTTTTCGCACCACTTTTACCTAGATCACCAGCGTAGCAGTAAAGACGAGCATGAACAAGAACGACTTTCTAGAATATAGAACTCGAATGTCCTACGTCAAGTACCAGAAAAGTGGCACTCGATATGATGATGCAGATGCTACAGTCTGCGTTACTCGGCTTGCAGGTGTCCTCATCTTAAGATCACGGGTAATTACGCTGGCTACAAATAAATGTACGTTTATATTACATAGCTTTTCTGCTCTTTTCAGAACAAAGACACGGCTTTTACAAAACCCATCCCATATGTGCCAGTTGTTCTAAGTGGCATCGTGGGCTATTGGCACGCATCATGCGATAGGAGAGGCGGTGTAAAAAATCTCATCTCGTAAAATACGTTATACGCAAAGCGCTGCGTCATCAAAACAAATCGCAAAATGTGTATGTGTGCGTTGTGTTTTTAAAGATAGGACGTAATCTCGCAATCATATGTACGAAATACCGTTCACGCTTTGGGGCTAAATTTTAATACCGTTATGTTACTGAAGTCTATTATTGATCTTATAAGATTATGCGGGAGTCTTCACATATTCTACATAAAGGGAATATTTAGAAATAGACGACACTTTTTTGTTGATATCGGACGTACGCTATCTCTGAAGGTCACAATTTCAGTTAGCTGATATAAGCAGCATCTAGCAGCCGTACCAAGGCAATGACTACAGCTTGACGAGGTCTTCGATTTGACTGAGGTTTATACCAGCACTTCACTGCCCCATTTGTGACATTAAGTAAAAGAACAGAGTTGTTGCTTCACGCAGTTACCAGCTGCTTTCCGACCATAACGAAAAGTCTTCGATAATCCCAGTTTGTCTTCCAGTCACGCGTTCTGAACTGAAAAAATTTCTGAATGGACTATTTAGTCTACTAATTCTAAATTTACATCAGCGGCTCATGATTCCATTGGATAAAAAAAATTGTTTCCTCGTTCCCTTCTTCAAGCAACCGTCATCGTTGCAGTAGACGCGGAACATTAGCACACTGGTGTAGTTCTACGATTTCTTTGAAGCTTGATGCGCTGCGTTTTAATGGTGGTCCAGTGAGTGTAAATTTCTAACCTGAGAATTACTTTGCCCGCCGCAAAACGCCAGACCGGCGGAATCATAACCACGGTATTCTAATCGCTTGAGACCGCGGACCAGGCACTCCAAGATCTCTTTTTGAGTTTTCGGCTCAAGGTAATTCAAGTAAGCGAAGATCCCTGAAATAGATTTTGTTTATTACAGCATCGTTAGTGAAAATCTGTAACAGTTAAAGCAACTTAGTGCTAGAAAAGCGCTCTAAAATCTATGAAAAACTAACCAAAATGTCAAGGCTGTGTATTTAACACAACGATAGGTCAAGACAGCCATACCAACTGGCTCACCTCTTTCATGGTTGGTATATTTACTTTTTTATCTAGGTTGATGAGAGAAAATACTTCTGCAAACTGCAGAACTTATTTTTACATACCTCCAGTTCCAACAAAACAACGTTCATGTTTTTGGCGAAAACCAATTAGTTTACTCATATTACATGCGGCAAGTTAACCCTGAAATGCTCTATCTGTTTAGCCTGAGCCAATTCAACAAGGATACATTATTTTTACATGTCTCCTATAATCTCTCGATAAACTAATAGAAATAACATAGATAATTTATAGCTGTAGCTGGGCACAGTGGTAGTAATTAGTAAATCGTTCATGTTAACTATATTCTTATGGCTAAAAAACCCATTGAAAGCAATGTTCCGACACCAATCCCACAGCGCAGATCCGAATCGTTCGTTGTGCTCTTGTAGTCAAATGCCTTCTCCAGATTTTTGTCACGGCTTATTATTGAAATACATACCCAGCAGACGACGATGGTTATAAAAAAAAAAAAAGCTGCAATGGCATTAATTAAATTTACTTGGCTTCTATAAATAGATCCGATGTGGCTTAATGCGAGAAGATAAATTTCTGTTTACCTAGTTGTCCATCATGCAATCAGGGCAACTTATCGCACCAGACAAGCGGTTCAGTGGTTCGCCGATTGATGGACTAGCTAGCTGGCCAAGGTCAGTATATCTTGGATAGCCCAAAGAACGCTTCGAAAACGTGCAGTATATACACTTCCGTAGCAAACGACTTCAATTTCATATCACTTCTGTTTATCTGTTTAGAACCAACGCCACCATATTGTTTATCGACTGATCGATTCTCTTCCTTCCTTTCATTTATTTTTTCAGGGGGTATCTTTCAGCCGAACGTTTTCGAGCTGTATGTGACGTAAAGAATAGAACTAGATAGGACAACATGTAAGCCTACTACCTTTAGAACTTGCAGTATTAACTATGTAGTAGCCGCACATGATGCAGAAAATGTGCAAAAGAGATCGTTTCAGAGATGCGAAGATCGCAATCATCTTTATGCACGTAGGATGTAAAGTCATCAAAATCTGTTTTTGCCACTAAGAGTATTCATGATGAAAATGCTTTTTTCAACAAAATGTACGAACTTCGTTAAGCAAATCTTTCGATTGCTTTCAAGTGTCATTACTCGCAGCCACACTGATCCAATGTAGCTACTATCACCGCAATTGCAGCTTTGATTCGGGACCTAAACCAGTAGTTTGCAAATGGTTATCTGACCCTGCCGTTTTGATAAGTCTGTTGAAGGAACCACAGATAAGATCAGGACCAGGTTAGACCTTCTAGTGAAGGCGAGTTTTGGACGCTGGAAGTGATTCGTACGATTTGATCACACGGGTAGAAATAGCCGAAGACGTAGAAACTGTTCACAGGCTTGTTTCGGATGTTCGTTTTGCAAATGTGCGAACCAGGCACGAGGAATCTAGTCATTTCATTTCATACGTAATAACCTAGCGGCTGTTTTAGATTTGGGTCGTACAACGCTCCATCTCACACTATCTTATGCCTTTAAGCAGTTTGCTCTGCACTAAGCCAATATGAGTTGGTACAGGGCATTCGTGGAAGCCTTGTTTTATACTTTTTGGCTACCTACAGTCGAACAGCAGTTCGTAGGAGATGCGGATAAAATTTCTTATTGATATATTCGCCTTCTTAGAACAAGAATAGCATCATGACGTCTCCTTCACTAATCACCGCGCTCGGAACACGAACACTGGCCGGAAAATTGTCCTCATCCGTAATTTGCAACCGTATTTTCTAAGGTTCTGCTAGCAATCATATCTGCAATTGATTTCGCCGACTTGAATTAATTTTCCTGCAACCGACGATCCTTAGAAATGCGCTTTTAAACGATACCGATCAGGTCAGGAATCTGTGCTTATGGTAAGTTTATCATTCTGGTGGGGGTTCGTCTGATCCTTGCTCGAATTCGAAAAGCGACACGAATTTTCTTTACACTATGGCCGTAACTCATACACCTCCGCTTTCGAACGAGCTCTTATCAAGATGAACACATTCGTAAAACTAGGGAAAAAGGACAGGCGAAACTTAGTCCAGTCAGCCTCTATAAATTATATATCTGTTAATATAATCGATGCGTCGACGTGCGTAGTCCCCATTTTACCGCCAAGGCTGGCTCGATACCTGCCTCGAAATAGGTGTAACGTCCATTCTGTTCACTCACTTTATTACGGCACTATCAGCACTAGAGCTAACAATATTTTAGCATGAACGATGCTTTTTGCTGCGATTGATCACTGCTGTGGGTTATCAAAGATATTTTCTGTTAGTGTTATTGTTGAGTAAGCCTTTCATCATGTAGAAAACCCTGCTTCCAAGAAAAGCTCGTAGCGTTCAAATGCAGAAGATAATGCAGAGGACACGTCGTTGGTAAGCGAAAATATCAAAAACATCGAGACGATGAATCCTGCAATGGCATCGAGTTATCTAGTAGGCATTCATCACTGAAAAATACGTTAGTCGTCATCAGCACTGTATTAAAACAAAGGAGCATACGAGTTTTGTTAAGCGATCGAAATCCGTCTAACGATAAAAACCTAAGACCACAATAGAGGGTTCAAACAAGTATATACAATGCATTAATAGACTGCGAGTATTCATTAAGTGACTCAGTTATATAAAAACCTATACCGCTATTGACGCTACTATTGTTACAAAAGAGATACATTTTTGAATAGTAATAATTGAGCAGACGCTAATTTCAGCAATTTTGATGCGGGTTTCGCGGGGTGGAGATACGATCAGCGTGACCCTAATTCCTTGCGATACTGAAATACGATTTGGTTCAAACCGTTGATGGAATTTGACTGAAACTCGATGAAACCTTCTGTCGACAACGGAACTAAATACTTGGCCATATATACAGAATGTTCAATTATTGAAGAAGAACCAAGCTATCTTGGACTATCTCGGATGTTCTTACACCGATAATAAAGACTGATTACCTACCACTGTTTCGATTTTTGGCGCCTCTGGTAGAGCCTTCGAAGACTTGGAAATTTAGCCCTACTCCTAGCCCAGAACATCCGGGCGTAAGCAGACTTTGAGCTGGCCGAACGTCTCAAAAATGCAAACGCTTAAGACGGTCAAGGAGGTAAAAAAATTCGAAAGGTCTCAAAAAGGATAACCGTTCGAGCCTACACGTAGGCGTATTGGCTTTCTAATGATCTAATTTCCAGTCTATTTTTACAGAAACACTATCGTGGACTTGTGTAAGCGACCACTGAGTAGACATCGACATAGCTGAAATTTTCACGAGTCCAATTCAACCAGACGCGATTGTATCAGCACGATATTTTCGACGAGTGTCATCGGCTCGAGCTCAGTCGTTTACGTATAATACTTCGAATATGAGTATGGTTTGCGGGTGTGTTTATCGGTGTAGAGTGTCGTCCGATACGTTATACGTTACGTTAGGCCTTCTTATGAACTCTCGAAACCTTAGAATACTGAATAGAGAGGTACGGAGTGAGGCGTCGAAACGCTTCTTCATGTATGTGCAATGGCTAACTAGGGATAGTCAGTTCTGATAGTTCTGATATTATGGAATGACGCAATTACTTTTTCCATGTGAAAACGAATATGGCTGCTCGAACAAGTGCCTACATGTCACGTTGACGCGCGATAGTATCAGCTAATGCTATAATAGCTGCGTATAATACAGATCGTGATCGAACGATTTTTGCCACCAGCTGTAGGTAGAATGCGTAACAGCTAGTGGCTCCTATTTGCGTTCAGACAGTGAATAATGAGTCGGTTACTGTTAATAAAGAAAAAAGTCCATACCGGAGCATGTTAGTTCAGCTTCATTTCCAAATAATCTGCTCCATTAGCCAAAGGTTCAGATCCTCGTTTGCGATTTTCTGAAAACTAACGAAGAAGCTGACACTATTCGGGCCTTACCCAAATACAAATTCTAATATTCCAGACCTCAATGGTGGTGTTGCCTATCGAAGTCGTGCGCCATATAAACTGGTCCCTATAGTTGTCGCACATGGCTGAACCAGTAGCACCGTCATGATATCCATCTTGCTATAGGACATGAACGTTGTTCGTTGGCTTAGGTTGTTCGAAAATGGCTCCTCCCCTTATCTACATTTCGACAGCCGACGGCGAGAAGCATTCGCATTGGACATTGCCGTCACGACGCAACAGCCTTGCGGACGAAGCGGCGTACTACATTGACAAGCGCCACAGCTGATGTTTACGACTTCTACCAGGTGCGTGCGGACGAGGCTCCGAAAGAAACCCAATACACATTGTATTTTTTGGCAGTGAGTTACCTGCGACCACTGGCTTGCGTTTACTTATGCATAATGTGATGGCGTTGCAGCAGTCAACTTACTACTGCCTACTACTGATTGCACCTACAGAGCGGTAGCAAGAAGGCGCCTTGATAGACGGGCGCCCCCCATCGCCGTGTCAGAGCCACTTTCACTAAGCCGGCAAGAAAATTATTTGTGTATGACCTTGATGGCTATAGTGAAACTTGGGAGGGCTAATTTATGAGTGTTCGAACAAGTAGCACTATTACTACCAGTACATCTTTTCGCTAATACATGTACCGTTAGTTGTGAATCGGCTGAAGATGGTTGAGTTTCTACGCAAGTATATATAGATGCGATAGAACAAAGATCGAAGTTCTGCTCAGTTATTCTGCGCGGGCAACTTAATAAGAAGTATATTTCTATTTCTGCGTATTGGGCTTCGACTCATTTTACCGATATCGACGCATAACTGCTACTTGTTGTCTGTGGAGACCTCACCTATATGTCTGTCATAAAATCTATGTGATTTGCTGAATCGGCGCTGTGGTGTTTGCATATATCTGTTAGATGTTCCTAGTAACCTGACAACCCCATTATATGGCATAAGCACAGTAGGACAGTTGCTTCTACAGAAAGAACTTGCACGGAGAAACGTGAAGGGGAGCTTGCATCGAATCTGATCTGGTCTGGTCTGGTCTGAAGTGCTGACAACCATGCCTGAGGAATTCGAGTAAAAAAATAAACGTCGGAATCATAATGAGACTAACCTTGATAGCCAGCCCCTTGCCGATGCCTCACTGTGCTTATACTTCTGTCGTAAAGGCGATAGTGAACTGATATTTTCAGTAGGCATCCGTGAATCAAATGATATTTATTTTATGCAAGTTATCAAAAAACAACAACAATGAATTGAAACTGAATTGAAAATGAATTAGTTGCAGCGAACTATCAGTTACCTTTGCCAAAAAGCTAACACTATGTAACATGAAGTTAATAATAGCTTAATGTTATCAATCAAACTACACAAGAACAAAATGCTACTATGAGAGTATTCTTCCAAATTTCTCAACGTTACGTCGGTACTTCCACTTCCTTAGAAAACGTTTAGTTGGTTTTATAATTTTTGCGCACAACTATTGACATACCTCACACACACAAACAGATAATGCGAAAACTTACCACACATTGTCGCGCAATAGTTTTTTTTCGGTGTTGCACTTAATGAATCGACCGTCGCAGCCTTGTCAGCTCACCCTTCTCACTATATCTTGGTAACTAATAGAAAAGTCTGTCACTTTCGTTCCCGTCTCGCTTAAACTCTCGATTTGTTTCGCCTCCGAAAAGAGCTGCAACGAAGCACCGCCAAACGCAATTTTTTAGCAGACTCTTTCAGTTTGGATGCAACTGCCTTCTTTCACTTTCAATTTTTACTTTTTGTTGAAAGTCAAATTAGCCATCTTAGAAGCGCTGACGGTTATGATGTGATAATTTTAACTGGAAAACGGGACAGAACCAAATGCAGCTGGCTCGCAAAATCAAAGCAGCAAATTTGTGAATAGCCAGTGTGGCAGACGTCCGTCTGTGCGATTCCTGATTCGCCGGCTAACTGATCCAACAAAGCAGTGATAGTGGATCTACGCGACACCAGCGCCTGGCATTTTTGTCGCTGCTGTTGCTGCAGCCGCTGCTGCCGTAGTTCTGTGCGTACCGTTGGGGATCGTGACGCCGTGGCGGCGGCAGCGGCGGCGGCGGCGGCGGAGGAGGAAAAACCGACGAATTTGACGTCCGATGTCCACGTATTTCATATCCGTAAGGGACCGTTTAGTCGCAGCGACTTTGCGTTCCGTAAAAGCTCTGCCACCCACTTACCTTCTTTCTCGCTCATTAGCTAGCCGGCAGATCGTTCGTTGACGGGGCTTGTCAGTCTCCTCCCGTTAGCCAACTAGCTCATTGTACAGAATGACCAGTTCTACCTAGCACAGACGTGATGCCCAGTAGAAGTAACAGTAACTAATATGGGGTCGGAGTGATGCTAGCCGATCCACTATGGCAACTGTGGTGGCGAACACACACAACGATACTGTGCCTTCATCACTTAGCCAGTGTTAAGATTCATTTTACGGCGCTACTAATCTTCGTCACATTGTAGGTGATAGACGGCCATCACAACCTCCAACACCATTCTCTCTCCGGTCGCTTTTCTCTACCAATTTAATTTGCATTCATTTCTGTGCGTACAGCTATCGAGGCTTGCTTGCTTGCTTGCTTGTGTTCGCCCGCGTACTTGCTGCGTGCTAGCTCACTAAGGTCGTCACTTATTCGGCCTTTTTCGGCCACCCACTACATAACCGTAAGGCACTGCTGAGCTGTTTAATGTACAGCATGTTCCCGGCTATGCTTCGACCACATAGGCAATATTCCTGTGACAGCGACGGCCTTGACGGCGACGATGACGGTGACTGCGGCAGCTTCTGGCTCAATTCTGTTCTTGTTTAACACCTTTACAAACTGCAAAGGCAACTAGTAACTTTTTTGCTCAGTTGGCACACAAATACCATAGGCTTCTCCGCTCGGAGACTAATGTAATGAGTCGCTGACACAACGGTGGCTGTTTTAGCGCTTGCAACTCAGCGGTAGTTCGAACGCCGATCGTTTCCGTTCTCCCTTGTTCTGATCCTAGTGGCACCTTCTCAGCCGTTCCGTGTCCTGTTTATGCGCTGTTTCACACCGCTCGAAAACAAATCGGTGCTATCTTTAACCAATCGTACTAAATCGTACTAACGGTTGTTCGAATCGCCTCCTGTGAGCATGGGATTCCGACACAAGTGGAAGTAAACGGCCCTTCCGTATGCTTCGTTCCCTATTCCCGTTGACACTCGTCCCGCCCCTCCTCTCAGAACTCTGGCAGCCGTAGCTTACCAACACAGACACACACACATATATATATGTGTGTGCCCACGGCATCCTACCCTATTCTGCCCTCGCCCTCAAACAACAAACCAACGCAGTTATTCATCGCCCCCCTGCTCTATGCACTACTGCCATCGATTATCAGCAACGTTACCGCGACCTGTTTCTGTTGCGGGAATTTTCACCTTGTCTCTTTTGCGTCCAGTCTGCAGCTGCAGCTGCAGCCTGACAAGTCTTTTCAACGTTTCGGGCGGACTCGAATAAGCAAATGATATCCATAGGGATGGTAAAGCTGTCAAAACGGATCATCACAAAGCAACAGTCTGCCAACGAACTTTGAAACTGAGATTGAGTTACGCGATGCCCTAGGAGCCAACAGACCTTTGACTTTGTAGTTTCCCAAGACATATTTTTATATAATTTGAATATTATTATGTCGCTATTGTGTAAAATATCTAAATATACCGAGTGTCACATCGTACTTAAAGATAGAATCCAGTTTACCGACTATTAATATTACACGATCCTTCTCGATCTATTGGTTCTACTGATTCTACTCATTCTATCTTGATACTATTGGATATGCTTACTTTTTGCCTCTAAATCAGCTCGAAGGTATATATCTATACAAAGCTGTCGTCGGCTTTACGTTACTTGCTAATACAAAAAATATAACGGGGATAAAGTCGCTGGATATAACACAGTATACATACGTTGGCCTCCGTCAGTCAGCGAAGTGTTTCGGCTTAATTTTTTATTAGTCGACCAAAAAGCACCGTCAATTCAGCAGATAGAAAGTTGTATGTTTTCGTCATTAGAATAAAGGCAGACGGATAAATGATGTCGCAGAATTTGCTTACATTAACTTCAATGCGAATCGAGGAAAACAGGGCTTTTAGCGCGGTTGCAATTGCAATAGTCGTACATTGATAGGAGGGCAAATACTCTCTCTACACATGCCTGACGTATAAATCATAAATAAAGCAGGTTGTAAAAATGGCACATGGACAAAGTAACGGCTTAACACGACTAGTTTGTGAATACTCGTGTTGACTAGATGATGCAATAGTGTCTAGCTGTCTATCGGTCGCTAGATAGGAATGGCACAGTATTTAGGACAGCAATATTTTTGCCAGAATAACAGTAATTCGAAGGACCTAAACGCCCCTTGCTTGACACTACGTGGCCGGTTCCGTTCCGTTCCGTTTCGTTGTAAACGACAGTCATTATATTTGACACTGACCGATATTAATGCAAACTCTCGAAAACTGACTAAGTGACCGACCGACCGACCGACCGACTGACTGCAATCGGCCTCTGCTCCGGTAACCTTCTCGTGCAGATATCTTCTGTTGAATTTGTGCTTTGGACACGGTTTTGAATACGTCGACACCGATGGGGCATTAATGCTCCATAGTTCCACAACTCAAATCGTTTGAACAAACGCCAACGTCAGCTGAAAAGCCCAGTTTTACGGTGCAGTTTGCTGCTTGTATAATATTTATGTATACAGCATCCGTATATTTTTGAAATAAATTGCAATTTAACACTGCACGAACACAGACAGCCAGCCAGCCAGCACATACAAAGCTAGCTCATACTATACGTACGTAATATACATATTTAGCTTTATCTAACTATTCTATTCCGAGTGTGTAAGTAATCGGAATACTGAGTGGATGAAGGTTACATTTTTTCTAACGAGCAAAGAAAATTCATTTTTAAGGACTATTATAAGTATGAGAATGTGACAAAAGTACAAGGGCAATGTCGCAGGGAGTTTCGGCCAACTTCACCTATGCCACTTTCAATTATTCGCACGAAATTCGGATGGTGTGGGTTGTTCATAGATGACGCTGTAAAAGACTAAGATGATGGATAAGCTCCATCAGCCGAAAGCCAGTACTGGAAAGGCATAGCTAAAATATACTGAATATATCTGAGAAAACCAAGTGTCCATCGCGGTTTAAGACACTGCAAGTAAAGAATACATTTCAACAATCGTGTATTCTATCTCTGAAGATGATGCCTATCGAAGAAAGCTATTTTAGAAGAATGTAAGCTGGAGCCGGTTGTTGAATAACGTTGTTCGCAACGTGTGAATTAAATCATACAGTTAATCAACACAATTGCACCTGCAAACCGTAAAACCACACCTTTCGCAGACCGCGTAAATTAACAGCTACAGTATAGTGGATCACTCGACAATCAATGAATTTGTGGGGCACTTTTTGTGACCGCCACCAGCGGCCGGTGCCGATAACTTAAACTTACTGCACGATGGCAAAGTTCATTCCCAGCAGGACAAAGTACCTGCACACTGTCGTCATCCTAATTTTCCAAATAGATAAATTTAACAAATAGGTCCAATAGAGTACCGTGTCCGTTTCCCACGTCTGACGCTAACGGACCTTTTCGTGGGGATACCTTAACAATGAAATCTACGTCAGAAAACCGACGGCACTTAAAACCGTCGTTAGCAAGAGTGTGCCACAACGCATTTAAATGAGTTTTTCGATGAAAGATTTTTAAATGAATTAATAGCCTACCGTTATCGCCAATGTATTGACCAGAACAGAACCTGTTTGAAGTAGGAGAAAAAGACATTTTATACCAACCGTTGATAT